CGTTGCCGTCTCCTCCAGAGTCCTCTCTTCCTGTTCTTGCTGACCCGGACTTTGCTGCTCGCTGTCGTCTCGACTACGCCGCTAGTCTCGTTGCTGAGTCTGAGTCTGTCTGTCCTCCGTCCGTCGGGGGTGAGTGTGCTCTTAGCACGGACGTCCTTGAGGACAGGCAGGAGGAGTTCCAGTGTTTTGCTGCTGCTTTGCCTCATCTCGTGTCCACGCTGATTGCCCCTGAGGGAGACCCGGATGTACCAGACATCCCGACTCCTCGATCGTACGCTGAGGCGATCGAGGGTCCCTACTCCTCACAGTGGCAGTCAGCCATGGACGCAGAGATGGCTTCCTGGAAGTCCACAGGCACCTACGTCGACGAGGTTCCCCCACCTGGGGCGAACATCGTCAGTGGCATGTGGATTTTCAGGGTGAAGCGGCCGCCGGGTTCTCCGCCTGTCTTCAAGGCGCGTTACGTGGCTCGAGGCTTCAGTCAGAGGCAGGGAGTTGACTACTTTCAGACCTTCTCTCCCACCCCGAAGATGACCATTCTTCGGGTGCTGCTGCACATAGCCGCTCAGCGCGACTACGAGCTTCACTCTCTTGACTTCAGCACAGCTTTCCTGCAGGGCAGCCTGCACGAGGAGATCTGGCTGCGCCGCCCACCTGGCTTCACTGGGTCGTTTCCTCCTGGTACCCAGTGGAGCCTCCGACGGCCAGTCTACGGTCTCCGCCAGGCACCCCGTGAGTGGCACGACACACTGAGGACTACACTTGCGGCTCTTGGGTTTGCTCCTTCTACTGCCGACCCGTCGCTGTTTCTGCGCAACGACACCTCTTTGCCGCCGTTCTACATCCTCGTGTACGTCGACGACTTGGTCTTTGCCACTGCTGACACTGCTGGACTCGCCCACGTGAAGTCCGAGCTGCAGAAGAGACACACGTGCACAGACCTGGGTGAACTGCGCAGCTACCTTGGCTTGCAGATCACCCGGGACAGAGCACAGCGCACCATTACCCTGACTCAGTCACACATGGTGCAGCAGGTCCTTCAGCGCTTCGACTTCACGTACTCCTCGCCTCAGGCCACTCCTCTGTCTACTCGCCACTCGCTCTCAGCTCTGCCTTCGGATGAGTCCGTAGAGCCGAGTGGCCCATACCCAGAGCTTGTTGGCTGCCTCATGTACCTGATGACCTGCACACGACCTGACCTTGCATACCCTCTTAGCATCTTGGCACGCTATGTTGCTCCTGGGAGACACCGACCAGAGCACATGGCTGCAGCGAAGAGGGTGTTGCGCTACGTGTGCAGTACGTCCGGCATGGGGCTAGTGCTTGGAGGGCGACGTTCAGTGGTGCTCACAGGTCACGCAGACGCTTCTTGGGCTGACGACCAGGCTACGCAGCGGTCGTCACAGGGTTACACCTTCAGCCTTGGTTCCGGCTCTGTTTCGTGGCGGTCTACCCGCTCGTCTTCTGTTCTTGGCTCCAGCTGTGAGGCTGAGATCTACGCGGGGGCCATGGCTGCACAGGAGCTACGCTGGCTCACCTACCTGCTGACTGACCTAGGAGTGCCGCCTCGTTCTCCTCCAGTTCTGTACGTAGACAACAAGGCCATGCTGGCCTTGTGTCGGGAGCACAGACTGGAGCACAGAACGAAACACATTGCTCTTCGCTACTTCCTTGCTCGTGAGCTGCAGCAGCGTGGTCAGCTGCGCCTTGCTTACGTGGCCTCTGAGGCCAACACTGCTGATATCTTTACCAAGGCACTTCCGCCTTGTGATCATCAGCGATTCTGTACGATGCTAGGTCTTGTGCCTACTTGGCCACACTTGCTCACTTCTTGACCTTGCTTGTACTGTGATCTGTGTATATCTGCACTTGCTTGTTTTCTTTATATATAATCTTGCATGTGAACTGGCCTTCTGGCCTTGAACTTGTGACGTTGTGATCCACCCTGAGCTTGCTTTGCTTTGCTTGACTGGTCTTGTGACCTCTTGTTCTCCCCCACTTTGCCTATGGGGGTGTGTCAAACTCATATGCTATAGTCTGTGTAGGCTGTAGTGGGGTAGACAATATGGGGTACAACACTTTTAGGTTTTCCTACTTGTACCCACCTGTTTCCTAGTTCATCCATTCCTCGTTCTTTCACACCCACATCTCCCCCTCCCCCCTCCCCACGTCGGAAGCCGCGGAAGGGGGGGGCGGCGTGAGCTGCTGTCGGCGGTGGCGCAGGCGCTGGCGCTGGTCGCAGGGGCTGGCGCTGGCGCTCCGCGCTGGCCATGGCCCTGGCGCTCGTCGCTGGCGTCCGCGCTGGCGCTGGCGAATCGCGGGGCGACGGGGGCGGGGAGGGGCCGCGGTTGACGGGAAGGGGGGGCGTCGTGGCGACGGGAACCGGGGCGCCACGGCGACGGGAGGCAGGGTGCCGCGGTGGCGGAACGCGTGGCGCCGCGACGACGGGAATCAGGGGCGCCGCGGCGACGGGAATCGGGACGGGGAGGCGCTTCGGGCGCGACGAGCACGACGGGACGGGACGCGTAGGCGCCTTGGGCGCGATCGGTGACGGAAAAAAAATAGCGCATTCCGCGCTGTAGTGTGGGCGGGCCCATGTGCCTTGAAAGAAAGTAGGTCCTAAAACTGTAGTAGCTCTGATAGCATGTTAGGATTAGGTTAGGAGCCTTGGGTTTGGGGAAGAGGAAGTTCGTCAACAAAGAAGGGGGTTCACTATAGAGAGAGATACAAGATATAGGGCAAGGGAAGGTAGCCAAGGGGGTATACCACCAACAATAGAAGAGATACTACCCTAGCTAGTCTAATATGCAATTATATATAGAAATACAATTTCTGACACAGCGTGCCTAGCATAGCATGTTGAGAAATAGTAGCAGAAAGTTAGAACAGAAAAGAGGGGTTTGGACTAGCAGCAGCAGGATACATATAGGAAACCCTAAATTGGGCTGTACTCGCTATAGAGCACCCCAGTGCAGGCTAGACACATACAACATTCTGACACACCCCCATAGCCAAAGTGAGGTGTAATCAGCACAATAAGCAAGCAGAGCAATAGTTCACAATGATAAGCAAAGCTAGAGGCAGTCACAGGGAGCAAGTGAGGAGGAGGAGGAATAACTATGGGAGGAGAGGAGATAGGAGGCGGCGGCTGAAGCTGCTGGCACAAGGGCAACTGGAGCAACAGGCACACTGGCTACCGGAGCACGACAGCACCGGACTACGGGAGTAACTGACTCCGCGGCTACGCCCAGCGGCTGGAGCAACTGACCCACGGGCGACTGGTGCAACGGGCTCACTGGCTACCGAAGCTCGCCGGCTCCGGACTACAAGCGCTGCTGGCGTCACGACGGCTACCTCCACTCAACCTCCCCCCACTGTCCCAATCCCCCTTTCTCACACGCCCCCTGCTGCACCCCTAGCGCAAATCCCACGACACCCCCCTAGCGCCACTCCCTCGGCTTCCACACACCCACCCCCCTCAGCGGCAGCTGCAGTAGTGGGAGACTGAGGAGGAGGAGGAGCAGGGGACGGCTCACACACCCGCCACCCCCATACCCCCAATGCAGGGGGCGTACGAGCGGAAGCGGGGCGACGCACAGTTCTCTGGGGCTCTGCGTCGGTCGACTGGCAGGGCGATGCGCGGGCCCCCAGGGCGCCCTGACGGGCGATGAGAGGGGGCGACGCGCGGGCCCCCAGGGCGCCACGGCGGGCGACGGATTGGGCGGCGCGCGGGCCCCCAGGGCGCCCGACGGGCGACGGGAGGGGGGACGGCGCGCGGGCCCCTGGGGTGCTGCGACGGGCGACGGGATGGGTCGACGCGCGGGCCCCCGGGGCGCCACGACGGGCGACGGGAGGGGGAACGGCGCGCGGGCCCCTGGGGTGTCGCGATGGGCGACGAGATGGGGCGACGCGTGGGCCCCCAGGGCGCCTCGACAGGCGACGGGAGGGGGGGGGGGGGCAGCGCGCAGGCCAGGCGCCACGACGGGCGACGAAACCGGGCAGGAAACCGCCACGCGCCCCGAACGCATGGCGGGCAGAAAACCGCCATGTGCCCCGAGCGCGTGGTGGGAAGAAAAAACGTCGCGAGCCACGGGGCGCGCGACAGACGGGACAGCAGCGGAAGCAAGTGGTGGGCCCACCCACAGGATCGACCATGGAGGGTCGGCCTGCTCTGATAGCATGTTGAGAAAGAGTAGCAGAAAGTTAGAACTAGCATGGACTAGCAGGAGCAGGATACATTTAGGAGGAAACCCTAAATTGGGCTGTACTCGCTATAGTGTACCCCACTGCAGGCTAAACACATACAACATTCTGACATAGCATACAGCATGCCAAGCGTAGCATACAGCATGCCACTTCAAAGGAAATGAAGCCCTTGCATTAAAAAACTCTTGGCCTGTGTGCCTTTTGAGACCGCATGCTTAATATTTCTTAACGCTGCATTCTTTTATCATTAGCGACTCAGCAAGTTGCCACCGAGCTGACAGGCCAACACACATTAGGGAAAGGAATAACACATCAATGAAGCAAAGCAAACACATGCTCATACAATAGAGACAAGACAGCAGGGCAGGAGACAAGGCAGAGGCCACAACTAAGGCATGACATGGCACATCTACTAAATATAAACCAGGGCAACTACAACGAGGCAACACTGAGCAGGAAGAGGAACGGGGCGGCATCAATACTAATAGAGCCCCTGCAAGGCTATGGGATCTAGACTAGCATGCCTTGCCTATCATCATGGTAGGGAACTAGGCACCTGAAACGGACCATGTCGGCACGGTACAGTATGTGCTACTGGTACCGGATGTTAGCGTGGATTGGTGGGTGTGAATGAAGGTCCAGTGCTTGCAGACGAGAAGAGACCCTGGGTCCCCGACCCGATGCAGCGTTGTATGGAGTAGTATTGAATGGAGCGGTTAACGTAACGCGGCTGTTTATTCTGGAGCGTTGCTGATACCATACCACTCACTAGCTAGCTAGTTAGTCTCGGTCACCTAGTGAGGCTGCGAGGGATAACGGAGGTGGACGGGACGGGAGGATATGAATGCAGACTGATATTTTGAAGGATTAAAGAAAGCATGGGGGATCGGATAAAGGGGATGATCACGAAGCAGGATGGATAGTGAAAGTGGGAGAGCGATGATGGGATATGAGGAGGGATGTGATGAGAGCGGCAAGGCAACGGCGAAAAGAGAGTGAATGCATGTATGAAAGAGAGAGGTACCTCAGGCCGTTGAGGCGACTGAGGAGGTGCGTCACAACTCAGAGAGCCGTTACCAGCTCAGGAGGCACTTCCAAACACCTCTAACTCAGCCATATGAGAGAGGCGCCTCATGCACCGTGTGAGAGCGTGCACTTGGCAGAGCTGCGACATGGTGGAGAGGTGGAGAGGTGGAGAGGCGATCCACTTTCTGTTGGTAGATTGATTTTTTGAGAAGTCTCAGAACCAACTGACAACGGCGAGGGAGGGAGGGAGGGAAGGAGGGAGGGAGGGAAGGAGGGAGGGAGGGAGGGAGGGAGGGAGGGAGGGAGGGAGGGAGGGAGGGAGGGAGGGAGGGAGGGAGGGAGGGAGGGAGGGAGGGAGGGAGGGAGGGAGGGAGGGAGTGCGTGGGCGAGTGAGTGGCGCGTGCGAGTCAGAGTCAGTGCAGGAGGCAGAGGAGGCGATCCATGATCATGTCCCTCTCACTGCCAAACACCTCAGGCGCCACCTCCAGCGCCAGCAGCAGCAGCTCCACTGTCACCGTCACCTTGCCATGCCTGCTGCTGCCACCTCTGCCATTGCTGCCGCTGCTGCAAGCCCCCACCCGTTTCGTGCCAACTGCATGCTGCCGCTGGTGCTGCTGTTGTTGTTGCTGCTGGTGCTGCTCTTGGTCAGGGAGAGTTTGAGGTTGGTTTTGAGGCCATTGGTCCTGTTTCCAGCCGTGCTGTTGCTGCTGAAACTGAAGATGTGCCTGCCCGTTGAAACCATACATGTGCCCATTCTGCTGCTGCTGCTGCTGCTGATTCAACAGTGCGTCCTCCTCACTGATTCCTGTCCGACCTTTCCCCTGCACTTGCTGCCACTGCAGCTGCTGCCACGACTGCTGATTCTGCTGCTGCCAGCCAGCCATTAAGCCCATACCCATCTGTTGCTCCTTCAAATCATCCTCTCCTTCCCCTCTCTCCTTCTCCTCATCTCCTTCCACTTCCTCGTCCTCATCCTCCTCATCCCCTTCCTCTCCCCCCTCTTCCTCCTCTCCTTCCTCGTCCTCCTCCTCTTCCTCCTCCTCCTCGTCCTCCTCTTCCTCCTCTTCTTCCTCCTCCTCTTCCCCCGTCCCCTCTAACCCGTCCCCCTCATCTTCCTCCTCGTCCTCCTCCTCCTCATCTTCGTCATCCTCCTCCTTTTCCTCCTCCATGCCCTGTTCCCCCTCCCCTCCCACACCATTACCATCAAAATCATCTCCCACCTCATCCTCTTCCTCCTCCTCATCATCCCCCTCCTCACCCCCCTCCACCCCACCTTCCCAACCCCGCACTCCCAAAAACTTCCCTCTTCGTCTCCTTGCGCCCATTCCTTTCCCCCCTGCTCTCCCCATCCCTAAGCCACTCCCTCGCGCCACACCAGCAGCTGCCGCACTTTGCCCTAGCATGGCCAACCCTAACGGGCAGAGGGAAGGGGAGGAGAAGAGCAGCGGAGCAGACGGGACCACAGGTCCACACCCATTCGCGCCCACGCTCGGGATATTCGGGCCTAGCATATCCCCCAGGTGTAAACTCGAGAACCCAAGCTCCAAATTCCCCTCTCCTTCTCCTCTCCCCCCTCCTCTTCCTCCACCTCCCCCCCAGCCCCCTGCTGCTCCTCTCCTATCCGCGAGCAGCGCAAGAGGGGGAAGAGGCAGCCTCCCTCCGCCGCCCTTCCCGTCCCCAGCCCCTCCCCCGACCCCCCTACCACTACCGCCACTACCACCACCTCCCCTGCTATCACCACCAGCAGCAGCAGAGGCAGCAGCAATGGCGCCAGCAGCAGCACCAGCGGAGCGGCCAACAGCAGCACAGGAGCGGATGATATTAGTGAGATGCAAGATAAGCGCCCTCTGCACCACTTCCGCCGCTTCCGCGCTCACTCCGCCCGCCAGCCCGCTCTCTCTCATCGCTACCTGCCGCATGCGCACCAGCAGCGCGTCACTCGTGGGTAAACACCCCCCGGACCCTCTCCCAGGGCCCCCCTGCCTCCTCCGCCCTGCTTCCTTTCCTCCTCTCCCTCCTCTTCCTCCTCCTCCTCCTGCTGCTGCTGCTGCTCCTTCTCCTTCTTCCCCCAAGCCGCCTGAATGGGGAGCAGGATCATCTGCGCACGCGCCACCAGCACCAGCGGCGGCGGCGGCGGCGGCATCCGCGGCGGCGGAGTCCAGCGGGCAGCCCAGGAGCGTGTGCGTGAGGGGCATGCCGGGCGGGGGGCGCGGGGCGACGGGAACCGCCGCGCCCCCGCGGCTGGACGCGAGGAAGGGGATACCCAGCGGGGCGGACAGCGGAACGGACAGAAACGCATCCAGCGCCGCTTTCTGCCGCGCCTCCGTCTCCCTGCTGATCTCTGGCGCGCCCCCCATACCCCCTGCCGCCGCCGCCACCACCGCCGCTGCTGCTGCTGCTGCTGGCGTTCCTTTCCCGTCCTCTTCCTCCGCCTCCTCCTCTCCTCGGTAAGTTCTGTCCTCCTCTTCCCCCTCGCCCGCCTCTCGTTTCACCTCGTGGTCCCCCCACACTCGGCCCAGCGGTAGCCCTAGCAGCTCCGCCTGTTGCTCCCCCATCCATGCTTGCGCCAAGCACAAAGGGGGCGGCGGAGCCGGTCCCCCTGGCGGCGGAAGGGGCGGCCTGCCCTTTCCGCCAGCCCCAGCGCGCCGATCCCCCTGCTGCTCCCCATGCGGCTCCCCCCGCGCGGGCCACAATCCCGCAGGCCCCCCAGATGCCCCGCCGTCCCCCCAGTCCCCTTCTCCGTCCGCGGGGAGAGCCCAGTCCCCGTCCTCCATCCCTTCCCCCTTGCTGCCATCTGCGCCAGCAGCTTCCATCCGCGCGGATCTTCCGCCGGTGCCCCCGCGCCCCACCTTGAGCCGCTTCCACGGGCGAGCGGAAGCTTCCCCGCCTGCGCCGTCGTGCGCATCCCCGCCGGCGCCTGTTGCTGCGCCGTTGATGCGCGCGTCCGCGGAAGCCATGCGCGAGCCAGCCAGTCCCGCAGTAGGCGGCGTCGCCGCCGCGCCCGGGCCACCCGCAGCGGCAGCCACGGCGCTCGGCGAGGAAGGGTCGGCGTACTCGTTAAAAGCAGCATCGTCAGCAGCAGGGCTCGCTGGGACGATTCCGTCTGAAGTTCTTCCATAGATCCGCTTTCTTAGGCCACCATCGGACCCTGCTGCACCCGACTCGCCGCCAACACTGCCAGTACCAGCGGCACCGGCGGCGGCGGCGGCGGCGGCGGCGGCAGCGGCAGCGGCGGCGGCTTGTTTCCGATCCCGCGCTGCTAGGCCCCGCTGACGCTTGGGGGAAGGCTGCGACGGCGCCTCGTATCCGTTCTCCCGATCCATGCCCGCGTCTTGCGCGAACGGCGAGGCGGAGGACGGGTCAAAACCCGCCAACTGCGGAAGAGCGCCCTCAAACCCGCCACCAGCCATTCCCCCCGCGCCTGCGCTTGCCCCGCCTCCGCCGCCCGCGCCTTGCTTTCTCGCTTCGCCTTCCGCGCTGCCTCCCGCCGCTGCTGCGGGATCCGCGATCCCCGCAGCCCAGGCGCTGGCGGCATTGGCGGCGGCGGCGTCCGCGCGGGTGGCATTCGGGGGCGGGGCGTCGCTGGCGCAGGCGGAAGCGAAGACGGCGCGGACGAACGAGTTGTGCAGGAAGACGTTTTCGGAGCCGAGAGTGGCGGAAACGAGCCGATCGAGCTCGCGCTTTGACAGGCGCATGTTGAGATACTCGCCGAGGAGTTGAAGGTACTGCGCCTCGCGCATCGGCCCCACCGCCATGCAGAGCGCGTGCTGCACCTCCGCCAGGTTGACACGTGGCAGAGCCTTGGCCATGTCGGCGCGATGATCGAACGATGCTTGAGCTGACGCGGCGCTTGCGCGCAGTAGGGTCGAGGCCGCACGTCACTTAACTCTCGAGAGCTCGCCGAGACGCGCAAGGCAATTACGCTCGCCAAGCTGATCCCCGCCGTCCACCACCCGCCAATGCCGACGAGAATCACTCAGCCGTAGCTTGCGGCTTGCGATGCGCCTCAAATGCCAACGCGCATCGCCCTGCGATGCCGCGCAATTAAGCGGCAAAACCGACGATGCTCCCGGAGACGGGTACAGTTGACAAACGCGACGAGACGACACCAGGGGCCGACGATGCTACCGGAGACGGAAGATGGTGGAGTGCGGCCACGAGAGTGAAAGTCGAAGCAGCGAAGCGATACGTCGAAGATTCCGACGGGAATTTCAAGGCAGAATCAAGAGCCCTCGGTGCTGCGTTGTTGCCGCGTGTCACGTCACTGCTTGATTCGCGCTTCCGCAACCACCCCGTTTGTGCCGCACAATGAGTCCCAGATGTGCGCGTGAACCCTTTCAACCGCGCTTCACTCCAGCGCGGATGATCGCGGTCTGGTCCGTTCTCCCGCGGAACCAGCGCATGAGGCCGAAAGCGAGAAGCCGTTTCGTGCAAACGCGGAAGAACCAGTCAGGCAGGCAGGCAGGCAGGCAGGCACGCGCGGATCGTTTCTCGGGAAAGTCGAGAGCGCTTCGAGAGCCGCAATGGTCAGCAAACGGGGACAGGGAAAGGCGAGAGGTAACACCCTAAGAAACGCAAAAACGCGAAATGCGATGCAGAGAGAGGCTTGGAGCGAATGGAAGCCGACAGGAGGCGCCTTAGGCGGTTCAGTGATGCCGGTTACTGCGGCGGAAAAGCAGCGGCAGACATGGCGGGAACGATCCGTGGTGCGCAGGCTGCAGCAAACCCTAAGCCGAGTCTCGAGGGCGCAGGGGGAAGGAGAGGGAGGAGGGTGAGGAGGTGAAGAGAGGAGTGCAGACAGGCGAGAGAACCCAATCTCGTGTAGTTTATTGTGATTTCGCTTATGGATTTTATTTGTGTTGTCCAGAAAATACAGTGCAAAAGGCTACAGAAATTTGAATGGCCACGCACAGGCTCTCTACGCTATGGGATGAAATAAATCAAACCATTTATATCACACGGAATCTAGAAGGCTAAGGGATTCCATTCCTTCAACTGGAAGATAGGCAGGAGCGCCCCTTACACCCTTTGTCACCCCGAAACCACCCTTTGCAGTAGCTCCTCCTCCACTCACCACAGGCAAAGACAAGGTTCTTGCGATCACTGATGGGTGTATAAGTGCATGTGCATGTGGGTCAATTGGGGTTGGTTGCCACAAATACTGTGATGCACTGGTAACCCCTGAACCTGTTTCGTTGGAGCCTACCCAAACAGGAAGCCCTCTGCTGCTGTTTTTAATGCTGCTGAACTTGCTGCTGGCATTGAAAGAAGGTGCTGCTACTGCTGGTGCGGCGGCTGCTGCTGTTGCTGCTGCGGACAACGATGCTGAAACAGAAGGAACGGGCGAGACGGGTGGTGCTGCCACAGGCGACGGCAGCGATGGGCCTTTAGGTGAGTACGGGATTGAAAGAGTCAAGGGATGGGCTGCAGCGAGAGCAGATGGGGCTGCTGCTGCTGCTGGCACCTGGCAGGAGAGGGAGGAGGACCAGGAGGAGGGTGGAACTGAGGGGATGAACAATGAAGAGGAAGAGAAGGAGGAGAGGGAGAAGGAGGAAGCTGAGGAGAACGTGGAGGAGGATGAGGATGGGCGTGATGATGTGGAGGGACGGGAGGACGCTGAGGACGACGGCCGTGAGGATGCCGAGCGGGGTGATAGCAATGCAGAGCTGCTGCTGCTGCTGTGCGCCTTGTATCTCTCCCCTGCCCTATCACCTCTCCTGTCACCAGCTCTTTCACTTGCCTTATCGCCTCCCCTGTCCCCTGCCCTGTCACCTCCCCTGTCCCCTGCCCTGTCAGCAGCTCTGTCCCCTGCTCTGTCCCCTGCCCTGTCCCCCGCCCTGTGCCCTGCCCTGTCACGTGCTCGGTTGGTGAGTGTCTGCAGCAGGGGTCGCACGCACTTCTCAGTGCGGGGCATGCCACAGCACGCCAGCTGCACCAGCAGAGGAATGAATCGACTGCCCTCAATGCACCTCAGCAATGCCACCACTACCTCCTCCCCCTCTTCCTCCCCCACTTCCCCTTCCTCCCCTTCCTCCCCTTCCCCCTCTTCCTCCTGTGCCTGATCCTGCTCCTCATCCCCGTGCTGCTTCGCCTGGTTCCCAAGGGTCTTGCTTCGCTGTTGCTGCTGCGCTCGGTTCTGCTCCGGAGCCTGCTTCTGCTTCTGATACCGCTGCTGCTGATGCCGCTGCAGCGGGGCTTGCTTCCGGCGCACCTCCACGCGAGTATGAGCATGAGCATGAGCATGAGCATGAGCGTCACGAGCGCAGCAGAGCTCCGAGAGGATGGCGACGGCGTCCTCGCGCGTGCGGGGGCTGCCGCGCTGCACCAGGTGCACGAGAGCAGGCAGGTGGGGAGCAACGGCTGCTGCCACTGCACGCACGCCCACGCCCTCCTTCACCAGATTCGCCAGCACTGCCAAGCACTTGCCTGCCATGCCTCCGCCACCTGCTTCCTCGTCTCTGCTATCCCCGCTCGCACTGCCACCAGCACCACCAGTACCACCAGCCCTATCGGCACCACCAGCATCACCAGCCCTATCAGCAGCACCAGAAGCACCGGTGGCACTACCAAGATTATCAGCGCCACCACAGCTCGCTCCTCCAGCTCCTACCTCTGTCCTGCACGCAGCTGGGTTCTTCTCTCTGCTTCTCGTGCTATTGCTTGCCTTCTCCTGAGACCGCCCTCTCTGCCCTCCCTGCTGCTGCCCCTGCTGCTGCCCCTGCTGCCGCCCCTGCTGCAGCCGCCACTCCTTCCCCTGCTGCTGCTGCGGCTCAGGTCTCCCCGGGGAGTGCAGCAGCGACAGCAGCACGTCAACAGCGCCGGCTCGCACCATATCCGCGGCACATCTTGCGTTGCGCGAGAGGTGGAAGAGCGCGAGTGCAGAGTCCTTGCGCGCGCGCAGGCTGCCACACACCAGCAGCTGCACGAGCAGCGGAATAGCGCCTGCCTCCCGCACCAGCTCCCGGTGCTCCTCTGCTGCTGACAGCACGAAGAGAGCTGCTGCGGTGTTGGCCTTGCTGGTGGCTACTGACTGCTGCGCCTCTGCACTCGCCAGCTGGCTCCCCTCCAGAAGCATTCCCGCTCGCTCGCCTGCACCGTCCGTGCTCCAGTCACCACCGCCACCGCCACTGCTCCAATAACTCGTGGTGGTGTTGGTGGTGCCGTTGCTGCACGTGCCGCCGCCGCCGTTGCCGCTGCTACAGTCAGCAGGGAGTTGCAGCACGCACGCCAGGATGGAAATCCCGCCAGAGGTGGCAATGACTTGACTGGTGCCGGGCACGAGGGACATGTTGAGCAGTGCCGTCACACAGTGCTCCAATCCGCGCACCAGCAGCAGCAACGCGTCAACATCACCATCCCCGGCCCGTTCGCCCTGCTCAATTCCCTTTGCTGCCTCCTGCTGCCATCCCATCTTGGTTAGTACCTGCTGCTGCTGCTGCTGCTGCTGCCACTGCGAACCCGGTCGCACCAGGCGTCCCTGCTGCAGCAGCGGAGCATCGAAAGCGCGCAGGCCAACGACCGGGCCAAGCAGCGCGAGCAGCAGGTCTCGGAGCAGAGCCAGCAGCGCGGCCACGCCTCCTGCGGAGATGAACGCGTCCTTGTTGCTGCGGCTGTTGCGCAGGGCCACACGCACCGCCTCTGCTGCACGCGCTCTCTCGGCAAGCAGCGCAGGGAGGGTCAGTGCACGCACCAGGGCTGCCATGCTGCTGGGTGCTTCTGCACCGGAAGCAGTGGTGGTGGTGTTGGTGGTGGTGCTGGTGGTGATGCTGCTGCTGTTGCTGCTGCACGCGTTGGTGCTGGGAGCGAGCACGTCAGGGCTCGTGCAGGACGCGCTGCAGCTGTACGCGTTAGTAGCTCTAGCACTACCACTACCGCCGCCACTGGCACTACCACTTCCACTGCCACTACTCTCCCTGCCGCCATCAGCAGAACCGCCAGTGTCATTGCGGCGGGCAATCTGAATCCTGGGCCCGGACGCGTCGTGAGGCTCATCAGAAAGCGCGACCTTGAACCCCGACCACAGCTGGGGAAGCGAAGACCCCCGCACCATCGGCTTAAGGCTCTTCTTCAGACCGCTCCCAAGCCTGCGCAGGCCCTTACTACTGCTGCTGCTGCTGCTGCTGGTGCCATTATTACTGCCACTGTGCACCACTACATCCAAGCCTCTGGCCCCCTCCTGCTGCTGCGGCCGCTGCTGCAGCTGCCGTTCTTGCTGCTGCTGCTGCTGCTGCTGCTGCTGCTGCCGCAATGGACCCGCTCGTTGTTGCTGTTGGCTCTGCCTCTGCTGCCTCCCCATCATCTGCTTGTATCTTATCACATCTGGTTCCTCCTCCCTGTCCTCCTCTTCTCCTCCCACTCCTCCCACTCCCACTCCTAACATGCCCCCCCCTCCCTCCTCTTCCTCCTCCCCACTCCCCTCCTGCTCCTCCTCTTCGCACCTCCACTCCTCCGCACCGCATTGCACCCCCCTTGTTAGCCCGTCGCACGGCTCTCGAAACCAAAGCCGCTCTCCGCGTGCCCCCGCGCCGTCTCGTCTTCCGCCCACATCTTGCGCGAGCCCTCCGCAGGCGCAACCGGCCTGCCCCGCGCCCCGCACTCCCCCGCCCGGAGTTCCAAACCCACGCTCCGCGCGGCTTGCATCCGCGGAGCACCACCCGCCGTCCCTGCTAAGCCCGACACCTTCCGCTCTACCGCACGTCCCGCAATACCGGCAAACCGTCCCACCCGCTACGTCGGTGCTACCAACGCAGCCGCCGCTGCTGCAACCGCCGTTGCTACGATCGCAGCAACGCGCGGCAGTTGCCGTGCCGGGAGCGGCCGGATCCGCGCAAGCCGCCGCATCCGCGGACCACGTGTGCCCCCACGGCCGCGACTGCGCGCGGTTCACAGCAATCCCAGCGCTACCATCACTGCGGCACGCAGCGCTACAAGCAGCAGTACTCGCAACGCCACGCGCAACGCCATGCGCGGAGTCGAGAGGCTGCTGCAGTTGCAGTTGCGGTCGCCTGCCGCTCCCGGCGGATCTGGGTCGGCCTTCCATGGCGCGGCACGCTCTACTCACGCCGCTGCTTCCGCTCCCGCCACTCACGCTACTCACGCAACTCACGCTACTCGCGTTCCACGCGTTACTCGTCTCGTTCGTGTTCCACCTGCTCCTGTCCCTGCACGAGTCACCCACCGCTGCGCCTTTCACAAGAGCATTCTCCATTGGTTCAGCCCACGACACGCTTCGGCGAACGCGACTCGCGTCGATATGACCTACTACATGGCTGGTGACCGTTGGACTTAACGGCTCCGCGGACTCTAGCCGGCCGAAGGAAGGGCCCAGTTTGCCGTATGCCATCGCCGCGTTTCGCGGCGACGAGGACGGCATTCGGGTGGATCCCGGTTCGTCGGGTTTCCAGGCGAATTGCCCGCCGCCGCGCTTCGTGCCTACGGTCGCAACGCGCGTCGCTTCTTCAGCTGCGTCGCCGTCGTCGTCGCCAATCGCATTGTAACCTTCGTTATTCTTTTCGTCGATATCCTCGTCGTCGAAGTATGCCTGGCTGCGCGGTTCCGGCTGCAGTAGCGGTATAACAGCCATCGCCGAGGGGTTACAGGAGATTAAGTCCGCGACCGCAGCGTAACTGCTGCTACGCTTCAAGTGTCGCGGCTTGGAGGAGGACGATAGCGTGCGGCGCAGGAATGCCGTGGGGAGAAAGGAGCGGAGGGACGAGTCGCCACCCCGCCTGGCCTCCGCACCGCCCATTACGGTGGGTTACGAGGAACGGACGGGATTGAGTTACGTTCTGTGCAGCGCCGGGACTTCGTATGGAGGAAATCGACGAGGAAGAGGAAGAGAAAAGGTACACACTTTCGCAACCGACTCCTGACTCCTTCGGCCAACTTAGTATCTCCCAGAATTCCTTCGTACTTGACGCAGACTCTGGTCAGAATGTAAGCGTTGAACAATTGTTAGCTTGCATCGGGGGGGCATGGCTGCTCTTTCCTGCCTAATCGCTTACATTGGGTCATGTGTATCAAATTACCTTCATTGTAGTCGGGTTTTGATGGATTCGCTGCGAGGGAGTGGAGTGGATGGACGGGAGTGAGAGAAGAGGAAGTTGGCGAGGAGGAAGCAAAGGTGGGGTGACAATCGACCAACCCACTCGTGTTTTAAATGGCTCTACGCCATCCAGTTGCCCTAGTTGGCATTAGGACATTGTTTAAATACTTACCCTGTGAGCCGTAAACTTTCTCTGCAATTTCAGGTGATGCTACTCGAACAGCACAAGCGTGCCACGTCCTCAGGCTTGCTCACGGAACCTCGTCATTAACTCCCTAAAATCGCCCGCCAAATCGATTGGTGCCTCGGCAAAATGAGAAAGGCCTCGCTCCTCAGAAGTTTCCACTTAACTAAGCAGAAGACATAAGAGTCCCGCTTCTGGTACCGCACTACATCCTGCTGAGCCTGCAATTAGTTTCCTTGTGAAGGAAAATTAGCCCAGGGTTCTCTTCTTGAGCATTGTGGTTTGTGCGGGTGCTGTCCAGTCGAGGCGCAGGTGCCTGCACGAAAGTGGAAGCGAGAATCGAGGGCGAATGTTGTTATATCGAAGCTGTGTGATTGCTCCCCACCACAAGCTTGAAGGGCAGATGCCCTAAGCTTTCGCCACAATTACACTTCATAAGCTTTCGTCAATTCAGGAAATCATTCCACAGAACACCAGCGAACCCACAGCAGCGCAGACACCGTTCCACAGAAACAGTACCACCTATCTGACCTCCCTCATTCAGACACAACCACCGCATTGTTTACGTAAACAAACATATTGTCAACGCAAATGGAGCTTGGAACTTAAGTCAGTGTCAACCGTTCAGCCGTTCCCGTCGCCTTGGCGCAAGGCTGCAACTTGCCAAATCGTGTTGCTCCACCCAGGTTTCGTTGTCGCGCGGAAGTCGTGCCCTCATCGAGCGAATCGCACCGATTCGTTCATGCGAAAAAGTGCGTAACCAGTGAGCGCTGTAACTTATCTTCTTGACGTGGGGCTTTCCTGCTCTGATTCATCGAGCTTGCGAGCACAGATGTAGTTACAAAGTGGCCTCGCGAGCCAATAACAACACAAGACGAGTTACAAGCTGCTGTACGGTCATCTCTATGCTCAACAACACCACCAACCCACCCAACCTCGGGACTATCCCATCTCTCCCTCCACTCCGCTGCCGTACCTGCTGCCTTACCTTTCCTCTGATCGCTTGCCCGTACCAGCTCAGAAGCGGAAGTACTTGTGTGCTAGTACAGTCCTTGCAAGAAGCAGTGAGAAATTATTGTTGGTTGGGTTGGGTGGGGGAAAGAGCTTGCAGCACCCACTAAGTTCACCCAGGCAATTAGACACACTAGCAGACAGTGTTCTAGGCTTTACCAGCCGTTAGGTTTCTTTTCCGCCGAGCGATCTTTTTCATGTAGCATCGGACGTGCATGAAAGCAGAGGATGCAATTGCGCCAAGCGCACGCAATATCAGTCAAGCTTTGACGATTGGGATGAGAAAAAAACGGCAGCGCTACTTGATCCATGCTCAGACACCCCTGAGATTCTACGTAGGTTCTTAAGTCACGAACGTTTACTTCGTTTCTTTACGTATTTTTTTCCTTCGTTTTTTTCCGAACAACCTTTTTCTCCCTCTCTCTCGCTTGCAAGGTTCCCAGTTTCCACTTTCGACCTCGTCCATACTCGCGTTGATTACCCCTCTCGTCAATTCCCTCCTCTTCCTCACTCGCACCGCACGCTAGTATAAGACTGTCGTCATCTTAAACGTGTTTCGTAGCGCACAACGGCGAGTTTCCGTTTTCCACAGCACCTCCTGCTTCCACCGCTCTTTGCCACCTTACTTTCCCCTTTCTCTTTTGAAGGATACTCTTAGCCTGACTGATACTTGGGTCCTTCATGCCAGTCGCCAGTGAACCGGCTTAACTTCTTTCTGCTTGTTTCAGCCGCATTGACCCCTTTTCTTCATTCAGAGTACCCGATTACAAACCATAGTAAATAATTTGAATCATTCTCTGCGATACTTTGCATTTATTGCGATCGCTTTGTTTGCTGCGCTCTTACCTTTTCCAAACCCTCGTTTTCTTCTCCCGCCCTTACGACCCGCTCCATTCCCCCCTCAACCACACTCATTCCCCCCCTCAGTTTTGTAGCCAAATGCGCGCGTTCCGCCGGTAACCTGCGCGCAAAGGTGCGTGTTCCGCCGACCGCACGCGCATACTGCCTGTCACGCGCAGCAGCCCCGCGAGGCCGACCGGCGAGCGCGGAGAGTGTATGAATGGACGGGAGCGGGCGCGGGGATCGCAACGACGATGACGATGAGTGGGACGAGACGAATAACAGCGGGCTCCCGCCAGACCCGGCGGAGCCCCGTAACAGGAGGCCCGGGGATGACAGTAACGCGTACGAAGATGAATATGACGAGTATGGGGAGGAGGGAGAATACAGCGAAGGAGGCGAACGGGGAGGGGACGCGCGGTATGGTGAAGAGGGGGAGTATGGAGAAGAGGGAGAATACGGGGAGGAAGGTGAAGGGTATGAGGATTATGACCCAGATGACCCGAATTACCAGCAGCAGCTGCAGCAACAGCAACAGGGGTTAAGAGCTGCTCCCCCTCCCAAGGGACCTGGGCCTGGGGCAGGAGAGGGTCCGCCCGACGGCCCGCAGGAGGAAAACGAGTATGATTATGACGAGTATGGTGAGGAGGGAGAGTATGCGGGGGAGGGTGAGGAGGGAGAATATGCGGGGGAGGGTGAGGAGGGAGAATATGCGGGGGAGGGTGAGGAGGGAGAATATGCGGGGGAGGGTGAGGAGGGAGAATATGCGGGGGAGGGAGAGGAGGGAGAGTATGGGGGAGAGGGTGAGGAGGGAGAGTATGGGGGAGAGGGTGAGGAGGGAGAGTATGGGGGGGAGGGTGAGGAGGGAGAGTATGGGGGAGAGGATGAGGAGGGAGAGGGGCAATATAACGAGGGGGAATATGTAGAAGGCGAGTATGATGAAGGCGAATACGTTGAAGGGGAGTATGCAGAAGAAGAGTACGTTGGGGAGGAAGGAGAGCACGGAGAGGAAGAAGCTTATAACGAGGACGGGGAGTATGTTGAAGATGGGGGAAACGAACAAGCAGCAGAAGGTGATTATGAGGAGGGAGATTACGAGGGTGAGGGGGAGTATGGGGGGGAGCATGAGGGGGAGTATGGTGACGAGTATGGGGAAGAGCATAAAGGGGAGCATGAAGGAGAGCATGAGGAAGAGCAAGAGGGGGAGTATGGGGAGGAGCATGAGGGGGAGTATGGTGACGAGTATGGGGAAGAGCATAAAGGGGAGCATGAAGGAGAGCATGAGGAAGAGCAAGAGGGGGAGTATGGGGGGGAGCATGAGGGGGAGTATGGTGACGAGTATGGGGAAGAGCATAAAGGGGAGCATGAAGGAGAGCATGAGGAAGAGCAAGAGGGGGAGTATGGGGAGGAGCATGAGGGGGAGTATGGTGAAGAGTATAAAGGGGAGCGTGTAAGAGAGCATGGGGAAGAGCATGAGGGGGAGTATGAGGGAGAGCAGGGGGGGGAGTATGAGGGAGAGCAAGGGGGGGAGCTTGGGGGGCGAAGAGATGACTATGACGACGAGGATGGCCATTACAAGGGGGACAGAGCGGGGCATGTTCACGAAGGGGATGAGTATGCTGAAGGTGAGGAGTACAGTGAGGAAGGGGAGGATTATGCTGAAGGGGAGGAGGGTTATAGAGAGGGCCCTGAGGGTGGTTATATCGAAGGGGGTGACAATGCAGGGGAGGAAGGGGTGCACGAAAAACGAGAGGGTAAGGACGATGGTGGTGGGGTTTACAGTGACGATGAGTATGGGGCTGATGATAACGGGGATGAAAATGAGTACCAGGGGGGAGAAAGGGGCGATGGGGATGGGCGGGAGGAAGGGCGTGAAGGGGAAGGGGATGGGTCGGAGGAAGGAGATATGTACAGTGAGCGGGAGAGGTACAGAGGGGAGGAGGGGGAGGAGTATGAGGAGGAGGATAGGGGAGGGGAAGGTGATTACAGTGATGAAGGTGATATGTACGGTGATGGTGATGGTGATGACAGAGGGGAGGAGCATGAGCTGCGGGGAAGTAGAGACGACCGGTTTGGGGATGAGGGTGAGGATGACTATAACGAAGAGAGAGAGTATGGTGATGATGGGTTTAGTGATGGCGGTGATGATAGAGTTAGTGAGACGGGGTTACGCAGAGAGGACGAGGAAGCAGGGGAGCATGGAGGGGAAGCAGGGGAGCATGGAGGGGAAGCGGAGAGCGGGGATGCAAGGTATCAGGAGGGAGTTGAGGGAGAGGGGGAAGGAGAGGGAGAGGAGGAGAGAGGTGGGGAGGGGGAAGGAGATGGGGAGGGAGAGGATAACGGAGAGGGAGTGGGAGAGGAAAACGGAGATAGAGAGGGAGAGGGAGAGGGAGGAGAGGGAGAGGGAGAGGGAGAGGGAGAGGGAGAGGGAGAGGGAGAGGGAGGAGAGGAAGGAGAAGGGGAAGGAGAAGGAGAAGGGGAGGATGGTGGGGAGGGTGAGGAGCGAGAGGGAGGGCTGTTGCATGCAGGCATGGAAAGGGGGGGGAGTGAGTATAGCGAGGGAGACGAGGGGGAGTACAGTGAAGGGGAGCGCGACGTGGGGAGAGGTGGCTTAAGAGACGAGCAGGAGGGAGAGGGTGATGATTATGATGATGGACGGAGGTATGGGGGGGACGAGGAGGATGTGAGTGAGGGAGAGAAAGAGTGGGGTGAGAGGGGGGAGGAAGGTGAGGAGAGAGATAGGGAGAATAGGGAGGGGGAAGAGGAGAAGGAGGAGGAAGAGGGAGCAGAGGGGGAGGTGCGAGGGAGAGGACGAGGGGGAGAAGATGGTTCGGAGGAGGGAGGAGATGATTTGTATGGTGGGTCGGAGGGCTCTGAAGCAGAGGAATGGAGGGAGCAGCAGGCAGGACAGGAGCAGCACGGGGAAAGACAGGACGAGGATGATTATGGTTATGATGAAGGTGATGCTGCTGGTGGTGCTGAGGATGAGGACGAGGAATGGCGGCAGCAGGAGCAGCAGGAAGGGGAGGAGCAACAGGACGAGGAGGAAAGGCAGAGGGATGGTGATGAGGAGAATGCGGAGTTGAGGAGGGATGGGAGGGAGGAGGGGATGGAGATGGAGGGGGAAGAGATGGGCGAGGACAGAGATTTGTTCTCAGATGAAGATAGAGAGGAAGAGAGAGATGAATTTGAAGAGGACAGAGATGATTACAGAGGCGAAGTTGGAGGAGAAGACAGAGGGGAAGGTAGAGGAGAAGATGGTGATTATGGTGAGGGTGAAGGGGAGTTTGATGGTGGGGAAGGAGGAGGGGATCGCAGTGCTGCTGGGTCTGCTGCTGCACGCAGCAGTGGTGGGAGTGAGTATGATGATGATGGGGGGAGCGCCCGTGGGAGTGAGTATGACGAGGGGGGTGATTTGTATGATGGCGATGGTGCTAGTGATGATGGCAGAGGGGAGGACGAGGCTGCAGGAGCTGCTACTGCTGGTGTGGATGGTGATGTGGATGGTGGTGGGGGTGATGGTGGGGGTGATGGTGGGGACGATGATGGATACGGGCAGTATGAAGACGGGTATGAGGATGAGGAGGACGCGGAAGCAAGGGGAGTGGAGGATGAAGGGGAGAGAGGGCAGCAGCAGCAAGAAGGAGAGGGTGAAGAGGAGGGTTATGAGGATGAGGAAGGGGTGAGAGGAGGAGGTGGGGAGCGTGAGGGAGAGGAGGAGGCGGAGGAGGAGGAGTTGTATGGGGATGAGTATGATGAGTATGGGGATGGAGTGGAGGGAGAGGAGGGGGAGGAGGGGGCTGAGGGGCGCGAAATGGGAAGGGGCGAAGTTGGGAGAAGAGTGGTGCGTGGAGGGGTGGGGGCGGTGGAGGAGGGGAATGGGGAGGAGGGCCCGGAAGGGGAGGAGGAGGAGGATGAGGGGGAACGGGAGGATGGGGAGGAGAAGCGAGAGCATGAGGAGGAGGAGGAGGAGGATATGTATGGTGAAGAGGATAAAGATGAGTATGATGAAGATGGTTATGGTGATGGGCATGAAAGGGACATGTATGGGGATGAAGAGGAGGAGGATGGGTATGGGGCGGGTGATGGGTATGGGGAGCAGGAGCAGGAGTATGGGGAGGATGGGGAGGGGGTTGTGGATGTTGATGGGGATGCAGATGGTGATATTGGAGAGGAGGAGCTTAGGCGTTCCCTGGATGGAGAACAAGAGGGGCGGCTGGAGGGAGAAGGGCATGAGGAGGAGGGAGAGGGAAGGGAAGAGGAAGGTTTGCGAGTCGAGGGGAGAGCGGAGGAAGAGTATGAGAGAAGCGATGATGGTAGAGGAGGTGGGGGGTCGGATAAGGAGGAGGATGGCTGGAGGGACGATGGGAGTGAGAAGCAGCACGAAGGGGAAGGGCGTTTGGATGGTGAAGGGGAGGAGGTGTGGGATCGGGAGGAGAGGGAGGTGTGGAGTGACGAGGAGGGGGAGAAGTGGAATGGGAGGAGAGGGGACGGAGACGAGGGGAGCGACGGTGACAGGTACGAGAGGGAGGAAGGGGAGGGATGGAGTGATGAGGAGAGGGAGAAGTGGCGAGAAGAGGGAGAGGGAGAGGGGGAGCGGGAAGGGGAGGGAGAGGGTGAAAGGAGAGGAAGACACGCAGAGAGCGAAGACGGGGAGGAGCGGTGGAGTGAGGGAGAAAGGTCAGATGATGGACGGGAGGAGGATTATGAGGGGGTGGAGAGAGGTGGGAAAGAGGGGTTTGATGCAGGGGCGAGAGGTAAGAGCGGACAAGGCATGGTCAAGCGAGTCAACGGAGAGATCTTGCCTGGAAGCGGGGGTATGAACGGGCGGGGAGGGTCCGAGGATTATTCAGACGAGGAAGAGGAAGGGAGGGATGGGGAGGTGGAGGGGGAGGGAGAGGGGGAAGTGGGTGGGTTGGCAGGGGATGGAGAAAAGGGTTCTGTGCGGGTGTATGAGGTGGGGGCTGGGTGGGAGGAAGGGGGTAGTGAGGATGGGGGGTTGGACTCTGGCGGGGGAGGGAGTGTGGTGGAAGGAGGGGATGGCAGGGAGAGTGACGAGGAGCAAGAGGCGAGAGAGGAGAGAGGGGAGGGGGAGGAGGGAGAGGAGGGAGAGTATGTTGTGGATGGGGAGGAAGAAAGGGAGTATGGTGAGGGAGAGAGTGACGGGGAGGGGAGAGACGGGAGCAACAGGGCAGCGAGGTTTGCAGTGGGGGAAGAAAAATCGGAGGTAGAGGCGGAGGAGGAGCATGCAGGAGGGGAGGTGGTGGAGGAGGAGGAAGAGTATGAGGAGCAGGGTTATGGGGAGGAAGGTGCGAGGAGAGAGAGGAGGTCATGGAGGGGTTCGGGGAGTTTCAATGGCAGTGGGAGCTGGGACGAGCGGGGAGGCGGGGAGAGAGAGAGAGAGCAGGACATGTATGGGTCAGGATCGGAAGACTTGGAGTATGAGAGGGATGGTCGGTACGAGCGAGAGGGCCGGTTTGGGAGAGAGAATGAGTATGAGTATGGAGACGAGGAGGAGGAGGAGGGGGGTGAGTATGAGGGAGATGGTAATGGGTATAGGGGGCATGGAGAGCGCCGCAGCAGGAGGAGAGGCTCTTTTGGGGATGAGGATGAGGATGAGGGTGGTGATGGTGGTGGTGATGGTAATGGTGTGCTTGTGGGAGGGCGGGCCAGCAGTGGTGAAGCATCACCTGTGTCACAGGGACGAGAGGAAGGAGAGGGAGGAGATGGAGGGGAAGGTGAGGGCGGAAGGGATGGGTTTGCACTGTTCAACCTTCCAGCGGGGTTGCCCTTAGGCATGCCGCAAGGCTTGCCCCAAGGCCAGCCAGTTGACTACTCGGTCGGGGACCTCGAGAAGGCGTTTCGTGCCATGCAATCTGGTGCTGCTGCTGCTGCTGCTGCTGAATCGGGGTCGAAACCAGGTGTTGCACCATCGGGTGCTAAAGAAGCAGCAGCAACAGCAGCAGGTGCTGGAGCAGGAGCAGCTGCAGCATTGGGAGCAGCGGGTGAAGCGTCTGTTGCCACAAATGCTGGTGGGAAGGGTGGAGCAGGAATGGGAAAGGCGAGGGACAGAGCGACAGGGGCAGTGGAAGGGGGTGGAGAGGGAGGAGAGGGGGAGAAGGAGGGGCGAGCGGGGTTTGCACTATTTGATCTGCCTGCTGAAATGGCGAATATCCCCCTGGGCCAACACGTGGACGAATCAGTGGGCGACCTGTGGAAGGCGTTTCAATCCATGCAGGGGAGGGGCGGAGTGGCTGCTGTGGGTGGTGGGGGGGGGATTGGAGAGTTAGGTGCTCTTTCTGCTGCTGCTGGTGGTGGTTCTGCTGCTGCTGGTGGTGCTGCTGGTGGTGCTCGTGGCGGCCTAAAGATTCATGAAGAGGCTGAGGAGGGGGAAAGTGGAGACGAAGGGAGTGAAGGCGAGGATCCCGGTGGGCAGGAGAGGGGAAAGCAGCAAAGGGAGCAGGCAGAGAAGGAGGAGGAAGAGGAGGAGGAAGAGCAGGATGAGGTGGGTTTGTCATTCCTGGATAAACTAAACCAGCTGCAGCAGCTGCAGGAGCATGGGAACGGGTTGGGCGTGCCTGCAACGGGGATGGGAAGCTTGCTGCAAGAAGGCATGGGCATGGGGCTGGGAGCAGGCATGGGCATGGGCATGGGCATGGGCATGGGCATGGGCATGGGCATGGGTATGAGCATGCTGGGTAGCCCTCTGAACAGCCCGTTATCAGCCATGGGAAGCCCTTTCGGCATGTCCGATCCGTCCTTTCCGTCCCCAGCCTCGCACTCCCCCAACACACTCCCCTCGTCCCCGGGAGGTGGGAGGGCGGGCGGAGCGGGCGAGGCAGCAGCAGTGGGAGGGGAGGATGTGGGCGTGGAGAATCGGAAGCTGCCGGAGAACGTGCTACAGCTGATGCGGGAGAAGAAGCCCGTTGTGCCTGGCACGGCGGAGCGCGATGATGATGAGGATGAGGATGATGATGATGATGATGATGATGATGATGATGATGATGATGATGATGATGATGATGATGATAGTTTGATGGGGGGAGAGGTGCGCGCACGAGACGAAGAGGAAGAGGAGGAGGAGGAGGATGGGGGGGGAGGAGGGTTTGGGCTGTTGGATCAGCTGTTGAACTTCCAAGGCTCAGGGCCTCCTGGGGGCATGGGCATGGGCATGGGCATGGGCATGCTGATGGGGGGGGATGGAGGCCTGCCGCTCTCAGAGAACGCTCCTGCTGGCTTGGCTGGTGGCTTTGGTGAGCTGCTAGCCGCCAGTGCTGCCCTCCTCGGCCCCAACAGCAGTGCTCTGCCAAAGCCGCCCCAGGATGCCCCGGATTCTCCCGACAGTGGCCCTCTAGCCGGGCTTCTGAGCATGCAGAATGATGCAGGAGGGAAGGGCGGTGGGGGCCTGGCAGGGGGGTTTCCGATGGATGGGGGGCTGGCAGGGGCGTTTGCACGGCTGCAGGAGGAGGAGAAGAAAGGGGGAAGGGGGACGGAGGGGAAGGCGGTAGGGGGCACACCACGTGTGACGCGGGTGAGGTTTGTTGAAGAGCCGGAGGAGTGGGGGGCTGGAGATGTGCAGGAGGAGGATGAGGAGGAGGAAGTGGATGAGGAGGAGGAGAGAGGGGAGGATGAGAGGGAGGAGGGAGAAGACCGTGAGGGGATGGTGGAGGAGGATGAGGTTAGGGAATATGGGGAGGAGGAGGGAGACGAAAGTGGGAGGAGTGGTGATCAAAGGGGTGAAGGCGAAGGGGAAGGCGAGGAGGAAGAAGAGGAGGGGTATTATGAGGGAGGGGAGCGCAGGGATGGGGAGCAGGGCGAGGAGGAGTATGGGAGGGAGGACGATATGTATGAAGAGGGGGATGGGTACCCGAGGGGGGAGTATGAAGGAGAGGAGGCGGGTGGGTTTGAAGACGAAGGGGAGCGTTTTGAGGGCGAGGAAGGGCGGATGGATGGAAGTGAAAGGTATGAGGATGAGGAGGGGGCGTATGATGAGGATGGGTATGGAGAGAGGGAGTATGGGGAGGAAGGGCAGCAGAGAGGAGAGGGGTATGAGGACGAGGAGGGTATTGGAGAGGAAGGGGAGATGAGGGAAGGGATTGTTGAAGGGAGTGATGACATGTATGGACAGGAGGGGCATGAGGGAGGGATGGGGCAAGGGAACGAGGAGATGTATGGAGAGGGGGAAGATGGGGAGATGTATGGGGGAGGGGAAGGGGGCGAGATGATTGAAGGGGAGGAGGGATATGATGAGGGGGAGTATGGGCACATGGAGGGGGCAGAACAGGGGGAGTATCAGGAGCAGGAGGGGTATGATCAGGACCAGGCAGGGTTCGAAGAGCAGGGGGAGGGCTTTGGTGAAGAGGAGGGGCTGTATGGAGAGGAAGGGGAATACGAGGAGGAGCAAGGGAGGGTGCATGGGCAAGGGTATGAAGGAGAGGAAGGAGAGGAAGGGGAGTATGGGGAAGGTGGTGAGGGATACGGAGAAGAAGAGCAGTATCCTGGGGAGGGACAGTACCCGCCAGAGGAACAATACCCGCCAGAAGAACAGTACCCGCCAGATGCTGAGGGATATGACGGGCAGTACCCTCCTGATGAGCAGTATCCCCCAGACGAGCAGCAGAGAGGAGGGTATGGAGGAGAAGCAGAGGAGGGGTATGGCGGTGATGGGAATGAGGATGGGCAGTTTGAGGAGGGCGGCATGCAAGGAGAGGGGTATGGGGAGGATGAGTATGGGGGTGCTGGTGGGCAGGAGGAGGGGTATGGGCAAGAGGGGGAGTATGGGCAGGAGGGGGAGTATCATGGGGGAGAGATGCTGCAGGAAGAGGAAGAGTATCAGGGGGACGAACAGTATCAGGAGGGTGAACAGTATCAGGAGGGTGAACAGTATCAGGGGGACGAACAGTATCAGGAGGGTGAACAGTATCAGGAGGGTGAACAGTATCAGGGGGATGAACAGTACCAGGAGGGTGAACAGTATCACGAGGGTGAACAGTATCACGAGGGTGAACAGTATCAGGGGGATGAACAGTACCAGGAGGGTGAACAGTATCACGAGGGTGAACAGTATGAGGAAGCAGAGGAGGGGTATAACCAGGGGGACGGGTATGTGGAAGGTGAGTATGGAGGGGATGGGGGTGAAGGTGGGGCGGGCATGGGGTTTCATGGGGAGGAGGGGCATGATGAGATGGGGTATGCAGAGGAGGAGCAGTATGCAGAGGGGGGAGGGGAGGGTGGCGCAGGGGATGGTTATGATGGTGGGGAGGTGTATGGGGAAGGAGGGGGGTATGGGGAGGGAGAGGGGTATGGGGAGGGAGAGGGGTATGGGGAGGGAGAGGGGTATGGGGAAGGCATGGAGGCACATGGGGAGGAGGGGCAGGGATATGGGGAGGGAGAGGCAGAGTATCATGATCAGGAGCAGCAGTATGAGGGAGAGGGGGGATACGAAGGAGAGGGTGGTTATGAGGGTGAGGGAGGTTATGCAGGGGATGGGGGCGATGGTGATGGTGGTGGTGGCGTTGGGATGGGTTTAGGCAGCCCTATAGCACACATGGGTGCGAACTCAGGCATGGGGCCAGGAGGGGAGTTTGGTGGTGGCATGGCGGGTGATGGGTATGGGGAGATTGAGGGGCAACAGGGGTATGGGCCGGAGCATGGGCAGTATATGGGGCACGACGGTGAGCAGTATAATGGGGAGGGGCAGTATAACGAAGGTGAGCATTATAATGAAGGGGAATATAACGAGGGTGAGCAGTATAACGAGGGTGAGCAGTATAACGAAGGGGAGCAGTATGTCGAAGGGGAGCAGTATGTCGAAGGGGAGCAGTATGTCGAAGGGGAGCAGTATGTCGAAGGGGAGCAGTATAACGAAGGCGAGCAGCAGTACCAAGAAAACGGCCAGGGTGCGGAGCAATACGAGGGACAGTATGGAGGACCCGAGGGGCCTGGAGAATACCATGAGGGCTACCAAGGAGGAGAATACCCAGAGGAGGGATACCAAGATGGGGCGTATCATGGGGAAGAGGGGTACCATGAAGGGGGGGAGTATCCAGAAGGGGAATACCATGAGGATCAGGCCGGGTACTATGACGGGGAAGGAGGAGATGGTGCAGGTGGTGGTGACGGTGGTGCTGCTGCTGGTGCTGGTGCTGTTGCTGATGGGCAGTATATGGGGGGTGGTGATGGTGCATATGGTATGATGCAGGGGCAGCAGGAGGAGGATGGGTACATGGGAGAACGGGACCAGGCAGGCTTGCAGGGAGCGTACGGGGGAGCAGGTGGGGTGGGAGAAGGGGAGGGCGGTGGATATTCCCCTGACGGGCGTTACTACGAGGAGCATGTGCGGCTGAACGGGGCAGGAGACGGAGGGGGAGAGGGGGGAGGAGGAGGGGGAGGGGGAGGAGGAGGAGGGTACTATGGTAGGCCGCCGGGTAGCCCGTATCCCATGAACGTACCCGGGAGTCCCTATCCTGACGAGCGGCCTATGAGCCCGTATGCGGACGGGCAGGGGTATGATGCTGGGGAGCAATACGGGGACGGGCAGGGGTATGACGAGGGGCAGGGGTATGGGGATGGGCAAGGGTATGCAGAAGGACAGGGGTATGGGGATGGGCAAGGGTATGCGGAGGGTCAAGGGTACGAGGAAGGGCAGATGAGCCCCTATCCTGATGGCAATCCCATGAGCCCTCTTCCTGACGGGCATTACCCGGATAGCCCCTACCCTGGCGCCCTTTACCTCGACCAGCAGCAGCAGCAGCAGCAGCAGCAGCTGGGGGGAGACGGGGAGGAGCAGCAGGAGTATGGGGAGGGCGCGGGCATGACCCCGTACCCCGAGGATGGCGGCATGATGAGTCCGTTTGGGGATGGTGGCGGTGGTGGTGGTGGTGGTGGTGGTGGTGGTGGGCAGTACGGGGAAGGGCAGTATGAGGAAGGGCAACTCAGCCCATATGGGTACCCTGACGGCGGCGGCGGCGGTGGGGGCGGCCATGGGTATGAAGGGGAGCAGGCGTATGGTGGCGAGCCGGGATACAGCGACGGGGAGATGAGTCCATACACACCCCAGGCACCCCTCAGCCCCTTCCCCGACCAGCAGCAGCAGCAGCAGAGGCCGATGAGTCCGCTGCAGGGGGACAGGCCTGGTAGTCCGTACGGCGCCATGCAGGCCCCTGGGAGCCCGTACCATCATGAGCAAGCGCCTGGGAGCCCTTATCACCATGAGCAGGCTGCAGGCAGCCCGTACCACCACGAGCAGCCCCCTGGGAGCCCGTACCACGAGGAAGGGGGCGCGGGAGGGGGCGGTGGCAGTGGCGGTGGTGCGTACTATGGGGAACGGCTGGGAAGCCCGTATCACCAGCAGCAGCAGCAGCAGCAGCAGCAGCAGCAGCAGCAGCAGCAGCAGCAGAACGGGATGGGGGGGTTGCACGGGGCGAGGAACGCCCCTGGAAGTCCCTACCATGAGGAAAGGCTTGGGAGTCCTTACCACGAGGAACGGCTTGGGAGTCCGTACCACCAGCAGCCGCACCAGCAGCAGCAGCAGTACGGGAGTGAGTATGAGCAGAGGGTGGGAAGCCCGTATCATATGGAACCGCCAGGCAGCCCATATCACGAAGAGGGGGTGGGAGGGGGATATGGAGAGGAGGGTGTGGAGGGGGGGTTTGATGGGCAGCAGGGGATGGCAGGGGGCGAGGGCGGGCAGTGGGAGGGGCAGTATGGGGAGAATGGCGGCGGGGATGGGTATGGTGGCGGGTATGGGTTTCAGGAGCCGCTGACGCCTACTAGTCCGCATGAGTATGCCATGGCATTGCACCGAGAGCAGCAGCAGCAGCTGGAGGAGCTGCAGCAGCACCAGCAGCAACAGCAGCAGCAGCAGCAGTTGGGGCAGGGACTTAGGATTGCCCGCCCAGACTCCTCTCGCTCCTCCGACCGCCCCCCTAGCCGTGTCTCGTACCAGGATGATACAGACAGCCGGCCGCCCAGTAGGGTGTCTTATGCTGAGTCAGACAGCCGCCCATCCAGCCGCATGTCTCGAAGAGGGGCGGCAGGGCCGGCAGGAACAGGAGGCGGGGGACCAGGGGCGGTGGGAGCAGGAGGGGGGAGAGGAGGGGTGGAGGTGGGGGAGGAAGGATACGCTGCGTTTGGGTTCTACGGGCAGCCGTCCCCGCGGTTTGGAGGGGTGGGGAGGGATATGGAGCGGCCAACGAGCCGGCAGATGAGCCGGGGCTTTTCAGGTGCTTCCCACGGGGGGTCGGACCTAGAGCGGCCTGTCAGTCGGCATGGGGCGGCAGAATATGACGAGTTTGGCCGCCCGCTCAGCCCGCTGACCCCACGCAGCCCACTCAGCGGGGAGGGGGTGGATAGGCCACTGAGTAGACACGGGCAGAGAGGGATAATGGGGGTAGAGTATGTGGAAGGCGCAGGGGGGATGGGGGGCATGGGGAGTGGGGGTGACGGGGGTTATGGGGGTATGGATGGGGGGATGGGAAGTGGATGGGCAGATGGGGGATTGGGATCACCCATGGGAGGTATTGGGGGGGGATATGGGGGAAACGGAGCATTAGGCTCCCCTGTGGGGTTTGGAGGTGGTGGGTTAGGATCGCCGATAAGCTTGGGGGTGATGCCTGGAGGGGAAGGAGGAGGAGGGGGAGGGATGGGGAGTCCCCTGGGGTCTCCTATTGGCGGAGGTCCCTTGGGATCTCCGATATCACTGGGTGGCGGTCTGGGCGGCGGGTTGGAGGATGATTCTTATGCGGAGAGTGCGTATATCGAGCATAAGATGCCGACTCTGCGCGCGGAGGGGCTGCCTATGGCTCCTCCAGACGACCCTAATGACATGCCTGCAATCTCCTTTGATAGAGTCACATCCATTCGGGGACCTGCAGGTGGCATGGGAGGAGGAAGAGCAGGAGGAGGAGGGTTTGCGTTTCCTTCTGCGGGCCACGGGGAGGAGTATGGGGAGGACGAGGAGGAGGAGTACGGGCATGGGGGCGGGTATGGCATGATGGGGGGGTATGAGGATGTGGGTTTCACGAGCATTGGCGTGGGGGCGGAGCTAGGGCCTGTTCCTGAGGTGGATGAAGATGCTCTATTAGAAGAGGAGGATGATGATCAAACCCCAGGGCTGTTCTCTGCAGGGGAGTTTGACGGGCGGCAGGTGGAGGAGGGCGAGGTGGAGGGCGAAGGGGAGGATGAGGAAGGCGAGGAGGGAGAGGAGGAGGAGGAGGCGGAGGAGGCGGGCGAGGAGGGAGGGTATGGGGATGGGGGGTACGAGGAGGGAGGGTACGGCGAGGGAGAGGATGGAGGGAACGGGGTCGCTGGAGGGGACCTCGAGGAGGGAGAGGAGGGCGAGGAGGGGTATTATGGAGAAGAAGGGATGGGGGGTGAGGGTGGCATGGGGATGGATGGAGGGGAAGGTTATGGGGGGGAAGAAGGGGGGTATGGGCAGGAAGGGCTAGAGGGGCAAGAGGGAGGGGGGTATGGAACGGGAGGGTCTGGTTTCGACAACCAGTGGGTGTCTCCTCGGCCCATGCCACCTGGTGCTGCTTCCTCTGCTGCTGCTGCTGGTGCTGTGGGGCATTCTTTGCCTAACGCTGCATGGCAACAGCAGCAGCAGCAGCAGCAGCAGCAGCAGCAGCAGCAGCAGCAGCAGCAGCAGCAGCAGCAGCAGGGGCAGGGACAGCAGGGGCAGCAACAGCAGCATCAGCAAGGGCAGGGGCAGCAGCAGAGAATGCTTTTGAAACCATCTCCTCCACCCACTCAGCAGCAGCAACAGCCGGCCCGAAGGAAGACCCCTCCCAAGCGACAACAGCAGCAACAGAAACAGCTGCAGCAGGCACAGCAGCAGCAGCAGCAGCTCCAGCAGCAGCAAGAGCAGGATCAGCAGCAACAACCGCAGCAGCAGCAGCAGGTGCAGGCAAGCAAGAAGCAAGGAGTACAGCCCAAGCAGAAGCCTTCAGCCAAACAGCCAGGTGCAAAGAAGGCGGCAGCTGCTGCTGCTGCTGCTGCTGCTGCTGCTGCTGCGACTGGCTCTGCTGCTGATAAGGGTGACGCAGGGAAGACAGGGGTGCAGGGAAAGAAGGCAGGCAAGGTGGGGACGAAAAAACAGAAGGGCAAGGCTGCTGGGGCAGGACCAGGAGCAGTATCAGGGGCAGCCGCAGGGGCAGCAGCAGGGGCAGCAGCAGGGGCAGCAGCAGGGGCAGCAGCAGGGGCAGCAGCAGGGGCAGGAAGTGGAGGAGTGGGAGGCACGGGCATGCAGGCTGCTGGGGCAGGACCAGGAGCAGTATCAGGGGCAGCCGCAGGGGCAGCAGCAGGGGCAGCAGCAGGGGCAGCAGCAGGGGCAGCAGCAGGGGCAGCAGCAGGGGCAGCAGCAGGGGCAGGAAGTGGAGGAGTGGGAGGCACGGGCATGCAGGCTCAGGGAGGGAATGAGCCTGGAAATGACCCGGACTACTACTCCCAGTTGATGCCTGCTGACGGTGCGTCAACCCCGCGCCTGAGCCCGTACAACCCGTGGGAGGAGGAGGAGACGCTGCTGCTGGAGGGGTCTGTTGCGCAGCACAAGCCTAAGCTGCAGAAACAGCAACAGAAGCAGCAGCAGCAGCAGCAGCAGCAGCAGCAGCAGCAGGAGCAGCAGCTGCAGGAGCAGGAGAGAGGGGCAGGGAAGAAGAGTGTTGGTGGGCAGGAGGGGAAGGGCAAGGCTGGAGGGAAGGCAGCCTCTCCTGAAAAGGCTGTGGCAAAGAGGGCAGCAGCTGCTGCAGCAGCAGGTGCTGCTGGTGGTTCTGCGAAGGAGAAGGTGGGGAAAAAGGCGTTGTCAGGTACAAAGAAAGCGTCTGCTAAGGTGAAAGATGCGGCTGTACGGAACGGCTTGCCTGCCCCAGCTGCTGCTGCTTCTGCTGCATCTACTTCTGCTGCTGCGACTACCACTCTGCAAAAGAAGACAAAGAAACCCGCACAGAAAGCAGCAGGAGGGAAGGGTACCAGGAAAAAGGCAGCGGCAGCAGCAGCAGGAAGCACAGGAGGAGGTGGAGAAGGAGGAGAAGAGCAGTCAAGAGCTATGGAGGCGGAGGAGGAGGAGGAGGGTATGGCATCGGACTTCGCCGCGATGGTCACTGCTGCTGCTACAGCCGCCGCTGTTGCCGCCACCATGCCTCTCAGTGACGGCTCGGCCGCCTCTGCCGCTGCCGCTCGGTCAGCTGCTGCAGCCGCGGCGGCTGCCGCCACCAGCAGTGCAGCAGCAGCGGGCGGGCCCAATTCATTGCTCAGCCCTAGCCCGAGCCGATCCGCCTCTGCTGCTGCCTCTCCTTATTCTGCTGCTGCTGCTGCTGCTGCTGCTGCGGGTGCGGCTCACCGCAGTGACAGTGACGGGGTAGTGCATAGTGCTATAGACTCGCTCTCTCTCCTAGAGATCCCGTGGGCAGAGCTGAGAAGAAGAGGCATTTACCAAGAAGACTACGCCTCTCCTCCTATGCTTCTTGCTGATCACTCCCCAGCTGCCAGCATATCACAGGGTAGCATCAGCGGTTCTGCTGCCTCTGCTGCCGCCGCTGCCGCTGCTGCAGCTGGTAGTAGCAGCAGCAGGGGAGGGACTCCCAATGGTTCTGCTGCCACTGGTGGTGGCAGTAACAGCAGCGTGGGTCCCAGCGCTGCTGGTAATGGCGCTATGGAGCTAGACTCGTTTGTTGACCTGTGCTTGGATGAAATGGTACCTTCTGGGAAGAATGAGCAGCTGCTGCATCAGCAGCACGAGCAGCAGCAGCAGCAGCAGCAGCAAGGGAGGGGTGGGGGGAGAGCGGAGGAGACGAGCAGCGGCAGTGCGAGGGACTCAGGCAAGGGCACTGCGGCAGGGATAGGTGCTGGTGGTGGGGAGAGCAGCAGCGCGAGTGCGAGTGATGGGCTGACCACGGAGGGCTCGCAGGCGTTCATGCTGCTCACCAACCGCAGCCCTGCCATCACTGAGAGGGAATTCCGCCCCTTCATTCGCCATGGTACGGACCCACCCCTCCCTCCCTCCCTCCCTCCCTCCCTCCCTCCCTCCCTCCCTCCCTCCCTCCCTCCCTCCCTCCCTCCCTCCCTCCCTCCCTCCCTCCCTCCCTCCCTCCCTCCCTCCCTCCCTCCCTCCCTCCCTCCCTCCCTCCCTCCCTCCCTCCCTCCCTCCCTCCCTTCACTGCGTTCACTCATGCAAGCCCATCATCCCATCTTTCTCCTCACCATTTCCCTCACACCTCTCCCCTCGCTCCCCTGTTCCCCCCCACATCCCCAGCAGACATACCCATGATCGTTCCGCCGTCCCCCGACTCTCTCGCGCACGCAGCAGCCCTCCTGACCGCAGCGCAGGAGCACGAGCACCAGCAGCAGCGCGCGCTCGGCTTCGGCGGCCTGGACCGCCGCCTGCTCCTCTGCATCCTCTCAACCATCGACTCCCCCCGCGACTGGCTTTCCTTCTCCCTCGCGTGCAAGCCCTGGCGCGCAGCAGCCTACTACGGGCTACGCTCCCTGCGCCTGCACCGGGGCCGGAGAGTCAACACAAACGGGCTGATCCGGGCGCTCTCGCACTGCCCGAATCTCACCGCCCTGGACATCCCCGGGATGAGTCTCGACCAGCCGGTTACCAACGATCTGCTGTGCACCATTGGGTATTCTTGTCCGGACCTCCGGCACTTGTCGATTGGCGGTGACCCTGAGCTGGGGTATTCGTTTCGGGAGTCGGGGCTCGCGCTGCTGTTCTCAGGGTGCACGAACCTCGTTGACTTGCGGTTGGAGGCGTTTCAGAGAATTCAGGTGAAGGGCAACGGTAGCAGCAGCAGCAGCAGCAGCGGTGGCGGTAATGGTGGTGGCAGTGGCGCTGGTAATGGCAGCAGCAGTGGCGGCAGTATCAGTATGGTGCGCAGTGGCAGCAGGGGCAGCATCAGTGATTTATTGGCAGCTGCTGCTGGTGGTCGAGGAGCAACAGCAGCAGCAGCAGACACTGCTATCGACTCCATCAGTGCTGATTCATCATCTTTAACCGCTGCCTCCCTTTCCTCTCTCCCTCTCTCCGCTGGCACAGCTGTCGCCGTCGCAGCAGCAGCAGCAGTAGCATCCTCCACCGCTCTCTCCGCAGTCCTTTCCTCCGCCGCCTCCGCCGCAGCCTCGCTCTCATCCCACCACACACCACCGCCTCAAACCAACCCAAACACCACAGCCGCCGACGGCATAACCTTCCTCCCAGAAGCCTTAGGCGACCTCATCCACCTGCAAACCCTAGTCCTCAGCTTCCACAACGGCCGCCACCACGTCCGCCTCCCTGACTCCATCGGCCGCCTCTCCGCCCTCCGCTCCCTCGAGCTCGCCTTCACCTACCCTGCATGCGTCCCCCCCTCTCTCTGGTCCCTCACTTCCCTCCGAGTGCTGCGCCTGGTGGGCTGGAAGGGCCTTGCTCTCCTCCCCAACTGCCTCGGCGAGCTAGCCAGTCTCCAAATCCTCGACCTCCGCTGCTCCGAGCTCGTAGACCTGCCACCGTCCGCCGGTCTCATCCGCTCGCTGCACGAGGTGGTCTGGGAGACCAAGCGCACGCGGGAGCTCGAGGCCTTTGGCTCATCCGTCCCGCCATCCATCGTCGACTTTCCTTCCATCCGCCGCCTCACTCTCAAGAACGTCTGGACCGTCTCTGGGGACATTCAGCACCTCTCTGCGCTCACTCGCCTGGACATCTCCGGAGCTAAAGGCCACCTGCGCTCGCTCCCCGAGGCTATCGGCAGCCTGCCGAACCTCGTCCATCTGGACGTGCGCGGGTCGTTCCGAGCCATCCCAGCCTCCATCGGCCGCCTGCGCCGGCTCGAAGTGCTCCGGCTACTCAGCGAGGTTCTCGAGGTGTTACCTCAGGAGCTCGGGGACCTGACCAGCCTTCGCCAGTTGCGTCTCGACGGCTGCCGCTCCAACCCTCCTCTCCCGGACTCTCTCTGGCAGCTGCAGCAGCTGCGAGTGCTCTCCATGCCGTGCGACCGCGTCCCGGATGAAATCGGCGATCTGCAGTCGCTCCACGCGCTCGAAATCGACTGCGATACGTCCCGCTCCTCCCCGCACCACGCGCTGCCGGCACGCATCGGCTGGCTGAGAGAGCTCAAAGAGCTGCGCCTCGTCTGCCCCTACCTCCGCTCCCTCCCAGCCTCCTTTGTCTCCCTCTCCTCCCTGCGGGAGCTCCAGCTGCAATTCGCCGGCCCGCTGCCAAAAGACTTTGGCCTCCTCACCTCGCTCCGCCGCCTCGTGCTCGACAGCCGGGAAGTTTACGCGCTGCCCGAGTCCTTTGGCGACCTGACCGGGCTCGAAACCCTGACCCTCGTCAGCGAAAAGCTATCCACCATTCCAGAGACTTTCGGAAACCTCTCCTCGCTGCGCTCCCTCTCCCTCGTGAACTGCTCGGGCCTCACCAGCCTGCCTGCCTCCTTTGGCGATCTTTCCAGCCTCACCAGAATCGAGGCGTCCTGTCGGGATCTTGCATGGCTGCCCGTGTCTATCGGGAACCTATCAGCGCTGCAGGTTCTGGAGGTGCAGAGCAGGCGGTTGTCTCAGCTGCCTGAGTCGTTTGGGAACCTGACCTCCCTGCACACGCTCAAGCTGCACTGTCCCATGCTGCGCTCGCTGCCTGCTAGCTTCAGGCAATTGCCTGAAATGGTCCGTGCTCATGCAGGTGTGAAGCTGTATGTGAGTTAGATAGGTTTGTTGACAGGTTCTCCTCGTAGAGCCTGAAGTGGTTAGTTCTTCCTCATGCATGAATAGCATCGTCACCCTTATCCCTCTTTTTTTTGTCCTTGTACCATGTCCCTTCGCCCCATGGAACCAAATGCTATCTAGACTTTAGCTTCTAGCTTGTCCGCTCCCATTTGCTCCTTGGGTGTTCATCCAACCTTCTAACCCCTGACTAATGGCCTAGCTCTCGCACCAGGGTATGGTATGCTTATTTTGTGGATGCTTGGTCCAATATTGCGTCCAAAGTACAGGCATGGTCTACTTTTGTATGTCGAGTAATGTATCAAATTGCAGATTTATTGTCTATTGCCAGCATCAGAAAATCATGGTGGCCATAATACAGTGAGAGCTCAGTTTCACGGGGAAAGGAAAAAAAAAAAATACTAGTATAGCATTGTCAGAGACATTCATTCTTGCCCCAAAAAAACAACACATCTGAACAAGGCCTAGAGATTGAAAAGTATAACTGCCTAAGGGCAGCTCACATTCTGCAGGAATGTGGTCGAGTGTATTTGTTGCACGAAAAGCAGGTCTTCATTTCGCAAGCCGGGCAAAAACGGGCAGCCTGGACCCACCTCCGTTCAAGTCGTCGCGCCACGTCAGCACGCAATTGGTATCTTTCTCAGACAAGACTGCCGAGCCAATCTGGTTGTTGGCGGCAGGACGTTCAAAGCCGTCCGATTTAGACTCGAAGATGATGTTGCGAACAACACTCTCCACTGATTCGAAGTTGTAACTGAAGCAGGAGTCTGTCAACTCGTGTGCCGACGATTCGAGTTTCGCCGAGGAGCGACAAAGCTGTTCCAGGTCGTCGACGACGATGTTACCACCCTTCCGCACAAGAACTCCTGCATGCTCCAAACCTGCTGGCAGCAGGTTCGGGCTCATTTGACCACTGCCAGGGCAGCTGCTGCTGCTCGTGCTGTCAGGGGAAACTCCCTGGTTGAACCATCCAAGCTTGGAGCGTAGTTCAGGCGAAATTGGCCCGCATTCATGGGTTGACTTGCCCGACATAGTCGAAAACCCCGCGGAATTAGCGACACCAGCTTGAGCTGGGTTGTATGCGGCACTGCCAAATGTCTTGGTAGCAGCAAGGCTTGACATATCATACACTGAACGAGGGACGTCTGCCCCTCCCGCACCACACATGCCGTAAGCAGAAGCGTAAGTAGTAGCGGCAGCAGCAGCAGAAGCAGCAGCAGAGGCGGCGGCAATGCCGTCCGCATCTGCATATCCTCTCTCCTCCTCATCATCATCCGACTCATCACCCCACTCGCCACGCCCGCAGATCCAATCCCGGCCGCGACCACAGCTGCTAGCACTGCTGGCGCTGCTGCTGCTGCTGATCGTGCGGCCGGAACCACCTCCTTCCTCCAGCCCATCAGACGCAAACACATCCTCCCCACCAGAAACTCCAGCACCAGAAGAACCAGCACCGGGAGCCACAGCGGCATTAGCAGCAGCAGAGACGGCTGCTGCTGCAGCCTCAGCAGCAGCCGCAGCAGCAGCGGCCTGGGCGTGAGCATGGGCGTCATAAGGCGTATAGTCTTCATCTTCATACAGCCCCAGAGCCATCTCAGAGCACCTGGCCATTCCTGCCAGCCTCGTCTGCCTCCATTCCGCTGCCGCAGCCGCCGCCACCAGCAGCCTCTCTGACCCCGCCTCCTCCCTCTCCTCCTCGCCTTCCTCCAGGTCCAGACTCTCGGGCAGGTCAAATGTTACAGTCCGGGCAGCAGCAGGCGCGGTTGCTTGCACGACATGCGGATGGCATGGGTGGTTGAACTCTGATGATGCAGCCGACATGAACATGTCGTCACCACCACATGTTAGACCCATGGCCTCGGAAACACCATACATGTCGTCCACTGGGCCCATCGGGATGAGGTCGGAGTCGTATGAATCGTACCCATTCATCCATACACCGCCATTCCCACCATGCTGCATCATCATCTCCTGCTGCCACTGCTGCTGCTGCTGCTGCTTGAGGTGCCAAGGCATGTGAGCGGAAGGAGGGGAGGTCAGGCCAGCAGCAGACGATGCACCGGGGCAGGGTGGAGAAGAGGCTGTGCGCCCAACACCACTCAGGCTACTGCCGCCACCAACACCACCACCTGCCATTCTCGCCTTGTAAGGCCCTGCCTGGCCAAGCTGGGGGCATCTGGTTCTGCCGGCACCGGTTGCAGTGGCGGAGGCAAGCACTCCTTTACCACCACTCGCTGCCCCGTCTTGCAGTGACGCCGCTGCTGCTTGTGCTTGCCGCTGCTGCTGCTGCTGGCGTTGCTGCTGCTGCTGCTGCTGCTGCTGCTGCCGCGCATAGGCAAGCGACACATGAGATGAAGCAGCAGCGGCAGCAGCCGCCGTAACAGCAGGGGATGCGGCTATGCCGTTGTTCTCACCAAACTGAGACGGACCGTACAAGCCAGGCATGAGCGACATGTACGGCAGGTAGAACCTGGGGCAGGGCGCACCCGACGCAGCAGCCGCGGCAGCAGCAGCAGCAGCGTTAGCTGCCACAGCAGCAGCCGCAGCTGCAGCAGCAGCGGCAGCTGGGGATGCGGGCATGACTAGGTGCATGGAGGAACCCAGGGAGGCGGCAGCAGCAGCACTGCCAAGCGGCATGGAGGGCGGAAGCATGGGCGGGATCATGTAGCCGAGAGAAGAAACGGGAACACCAGCGACAACGCCACCAGACGCTGCTGCAGCAGCAGGTGTGGAAGAGGGGGTGTTACCGCTGCTGCTGCATGTGTGGGCGGCACTCCAGCTGTACGCGCGAGGAGCGCGTCTCGATGCCCATCCGCTCCCTCGCCTACCGCCTCCCCCTCCTTGCTGCTGCTGTGAGTGTGACTGCTGCGGCTGCTGATGATGATGATGCTGGTGTTGCTTCCATGCCTGCGCACTGCTGTGCTCTTTCTTGTCCTGGTCTGACTCCTCCGCCTTGCTTTCCCTAACACCACCTCCTTGCTGCCCCTGCAACTGCATGTGCTGCTGCTGCTGCTGCTGCTGCTGCTGCGGCTGCGACCTTCCCTTCAGCTGCTCTCTGCTCGCCTCCGTCGCTGAACCAGCGGTTTGGGTGCACTGACCCGCGTTCTCGTCTCCGCCAGGACCAGCCACAACAGCAACAGCAGCAGCAGGAGGAGGGGAAGAAGACGGGGAGAGGGCGGGAGCAGGAGAGGCGAGAGCAGCAGAGGGCGGGGGCTGAAGAGGCTGACCGAGGGGCAGCAGCGAGTCCCACGCGCTGTCCGTGCCCAACAGCTCCTGCAGAGTCGCCGTGCGTCCCTCGTCCTCTCCCGCACCCCCTTCGTCTCCCCGCCTCTCACCACCGTCGTCCGAACCACTCTCCTCTCCGTTCCTTTTGCTCCTTGCGTTCGCTGCGTTCCCTGCTGAAGCCTGCTCGTCTCCGCCGCGCTCCTCCTGCGACTCATGCGACTCGTGCTCTTCCTCCTCGTCCGCCTGCCCTGTCGCAGCGTCGTCTTCCAGCAGTCGCAGCATCTCGCGCGCTCGATCCAGAGCCTGCAACAATCACACGCGTCACAAGCCATGTCAGCAAGACATGCAACCACTCGAGGAAAAGAAAGGTAAGAAGAAAAAAAAAAACACCCAATAAAAACAATAACTCAACACCAAATTAGATAGAAGAGCGCGCGAGCTTCTACGACTGGGTGAAGAGGGGAAATGGATTTCAGTACATTACCTTCACATGGGAATCCGAAGCGCTGCTGCTGGTGGTGCTGCTGCCGGTGCTACTGCCGTTGCTCTTTCCGCTACCACCGCCTCTGCTCGCATCGGCCACACCGGCACCGTCCTCTGTGTGCGGCTCTGCCTTGTCGTCAAACGCCGCTGAGTCTTCCACACAAGCCTCCGAAACAACAGCAGCAGCAGCAGCATCCGCAGCACCATCGGCCGACTCAGCAACAGCAGCAGCGACATCTTCGTGGTTAATGGTGCTGGTGGTGCTGCTGGGGGAGTGAGCGTTGGCGCCGCTGGGTCCGGTGACGGAGAGCAGCAGGCGGCGGGCCTCGCGCACCTTTCGCTGCTTCAGCAGGCACAGCGCGAGGTTGCACACCTTGTTGTTGTCGCGCTCGATGCGCAGCGCCTTCCTGCGATGCGCGCGCGCGAGCGCGGAGGCGAGGAACGGGGGGAAGACGCGAGGAGAAGGGGACACGGTGGAACAAGGTGAGAACGTGCCAGGGGTTGGGGGCTGACGAGAGGGATAGAGTGAGATAATGAGAGAGTGGAAGGCAACGAAAGAGAGGTGACGACACAACGAGCTAGCTTCACACACGTCCGCAGCCCCACACCAAACATACACATCCTCTCTCCCCCTTCACTCCCGTCCCTCCCCACCACACATCATCTTACCTATACACGAATTCCGCCGCCTGGTAGTTAGTACACTGCATGTACGCCCACCCCAGGTTCCCCAGCAGCCGCGTCGCCTCCTGCTCCAGCGAAACCTGGAACTTCCGCCCCTGGGACCGCGCCGTCTTGGTTTTCCGACCGTTGAACGCGACGCCGAGGCGGATACGATCCAGCTTGTGCTTCAGCAGCGCAATTTGATCCTCCACGCGCCCGCACCGCTTGTAGAGATCCAATAGGATATTATCGAGGCTCTCCTGCGCCGCGTCGGAGCACTTGTGGCGGAGTTGTTGCACGGCGGCGATGGCGGCGTCCGCCTTGTTCTGCTGCTTGAGCACGATCGCGAGGTCTTTAAGCGCGCTGTCCACGCGGTCGCCCGACGCGATGGCCTGCGAGAACAGCTGCACGGCGCGGTCCGGGTCCTTGCCCACGAGCTGAGCGAGGGCGACGCGAGGAGAGCGCGCGGCAGGAGCGGGAGCAGAGGGAGCAGAGAGAGCATAGGGCAGAAGGAGGAGAGGGTAGGAGAGGGTAGAAGGGAGCAGGGAGGTAAGGAGAGGGATGGAGCAGGGGGTAGAGGGAGACAGGAAGACAGAAAAAATAGGATTAGTGGGCAGAAGGACGCTAACTGGGGGAGGAAATGAGGCATCCACGACTCTAAACGCGACCGTAACGGAGTACGTGAGAAGCGCAAGGGAGGAGCAAGCTAGCACCTTCGGTGCAACATCAACGAGGCACTAGAGCGCATTGCACGGCGCCACTGGCGGAGTCTGCATCAGCCGTTGCTCCCCAACGCATGGCTATTACTCTCTTCAGCCTTGGGCCCGGGAGTCTAGGCGGGCCATTTAAACGGCGAGCGGACGAGAAAAGCAGCACGAATCCGTATCAGGAAATGGGTGAGTGCGGTGAGCATGAAGGAAGGGTGCATGTGGGAATAAACAGGCGAGTCTAGTAGAGCGGACTGAGCGGTCTGAAGTCGCAGGGTGGGAGTGGGGCCCGCGCTGCTCGCGTGCAGCGTAACTAGAAGAAAACGAGCGGTGGAGCCAAGGGAAATCGTTGCCGTTTTGCCATTCCGGATGGCTGTTGTCTCCACGGTATCCACAAGACGGTTCCAACAGGGCGCTAGCCGTGGTACCGAGGGGGGAAGTGCAGGTGGGAGGGCGAGTGAGAGCGGACGTGGGATGAGAGCGCAAGACTCACCTGATAGTGCTTCGCTTGGATGTACGGCGATGCGGAGCTGGACCAGGTCGCTGCGCCAGACGCGGCGGAGCCTGTGCTTGCGCTTGGGCCGGCTGCGGAAGGAGCGGATGCGGAGGAAGAGGGAGGCGAGGCGGCAGAGGAGGAGCAAACAAGCGCAGGAAGCGTTGCAGTGGAGCAAGACGAACAGGAAGGAGCGGAGGAAGCGGCGGAGGAGGCGGAGGCAGAGGCGGAGGCGGAGAAGCCGAGTGTTGATGCCATTGACGGAGGCGCTGCAGGCTTGTGATTGGCGGACGAAAGCGTGCAGCTCAGGGCGGAAGATCCGGCGGATGGCACGGCAGATGGAGCGTTTGCGCTTGAGACGGTCTGATTGACGAGGTGATGGGTGTTCTGCCACGATTTGCGGCTTCGACGGCGATGTCTGGGCCCCTCGCAGCCTGCCATGGCTTCTCGGTCCGTCAGTCAGTCCCGAGTGGTGAATCTCCCGCGGAGAAAGAACCCTAACGAGAAGCGGGTGGTCGGGTAATTTAGCCTTACGGCCAGGATTGATCAGCTTGCAAGGGCGAGCTCACGGGATGTGCGAAAATTGAGAGGTTGATAGGAAGGAGCAGCAGTATTGGAATAGAATTACGGCGTTGCACGCATGGCATTGCTTGAAAACGGAGATAGGGGAAGCCTGGATGGATGACGATGTGATGGTTATGCCATATGATCAACAACGTCTTGGCGATTCACGAGGATATCCGCAAGAAATGGTGCCATGGATCGTCGGCCCTTTAGATGCGCTCGGCAGCACCACAATCGCAGCAGCAGGATGATTTGTGTTGATTCATAGCGATGGGTTGGGCTGGATAAGCCAGGATTGGGTTGGGTTGGTTTGAGAATCAGGATGGGGAAGGAAATGGAGGGAAAACAGGTGGGAGGCAGGAGGGGGGAAGAATGCGAGATGTGGTTTCCGCACTGCTGTGCCGCAGCACCTGCTGTTGGCACAGGCCTGGCGGAGAGGAGACTGGTGGTTGGGCGATACCATACCATACCACCTCTCTCCATGCTCTCACTCACTCCCATCCCGAGCTGGGCCGAACGGTTCTTTTCTTTTTTCCGCTCTGCCCGGAACTGTAGCTTTCAGCCGCCAAAATTCTTGAATCCATCGCCCCCCACAAATCCGCCCCCGCATTCGCGCTCCGCCACTCAGCCAACTCTCCCCAGAAGCTCCCCCTCCTCTGGTTCCCGCCCACACCACAAGATTTTTCTCCCCCTTTTCCCACAGCTAGACCATTCCGCGCGGGATCCTGCCAGCGCGCGGTTGCAACTCCCCAATTTGATCGGGGCCAAAAAAGGGCAGTGCGATTGTCTGGGCACTGCTGGTTCGGCCTGCTGCCCACCAGTAAGGCGAGAGCCCGCGCGCACATTGTCAGATGAAACTGGGGCAAGCCAGTTAGCCTGCAGTGGTTGGGAATTTGGCGTATCCGTTCGCGATGTTTCTGAATCGCTGTGTGCGACTGGTTTGGCTCGAGGGAGTGGAACAGTCGTACCTGCTGGTCAGGAGGGCAGCGAGCGGGAGGGAGGTTCCGCCCTGGCAACCTTCTCGCGGTTCGCCGTTCCATGCCCCTCCGCGCGCAGAAGTTGTGGGTGAACCATCAGTGTAAGTGGATCCGGCGACGGAATTGTTTGAGTCGCCAGGTTTGTCGCACGCCTGTCAAGTAACTGCGGCACGAGTTTGGAAATTCTGTGGCGGGGTTTGGCTGAGAATCCCAAGGGACCCGTAAATTCCGCCGACGTAGTGTTTTGATTGCAGCTTGTACAAACCAACACCCACTCACACAAACGTCCTGTACTTGTTTGGCTGACCCAACCCAAAACTGTATCTCCCCCCTAGCACAGATGATCATCCCTGTCAGAAAGACCAGCCAGATCACTGCTATACGACAAACAGCAACCAGATGCATTTGGTTGCTGATTGGATAAGCCAACGGCTCCCTCGTTTCCCCCCCTTTCAAAAAAGAAAATATGGGATGCAAGCAGTCTCGCAACTGGATACGATGCGATTGAATACATCTGGATGTTAACACAAAAGTATCCGTACATCAGGTGGTGCCACCCCTGAATTGGCGTTTTAAACCCTCTTAATTTTTGCGGACCACACAATTGCATCATTATTTGGCACCACGCACCACTGAATATAATGCACCCATGTGCATTCTCCACCACAGAATCACTTTAGAAAGCGAATTACATTTGCATCAGCATAGAATCAACGTGCATACCGTACAATCCCACTCATTCATGTTCCCTTCAATCCACAACGCGCTCTAGGTCACGTAACAGTTGCACCCCATCCCTGCAACCTCGCTTGCGTCTCAGCAACATACACATGCGCTGATACACTTCCTCCAACTGACTCACCATCAAGCCATCAGTCCTGTCAGCTACTCTACAAAGCACTTGCTCCATGACTTCCTTAACTGCTCTCTTCTCCTTTTCCCACTCCTCCCGCCACTCCTCATCAAATCTCACAGTCCTGGGTGCGCAGGACGCAGGCCCATCGCCCAGACCAGAAGTGTCCGCACCAACACCCGAACCACCAACACCATCATGCAACGGCGCTCTGCCTGAACCTGCTGCTGCCACCACTGGCACACTTGCTGCTCCCGCTACTCCTGCTGCCCCCAACGCACTCATGCCTGGCACACATCCTGCTCCACTTGCTCCTGCTGCTGCTCCTGCTGCCGCTGCTGCTGTGCCTCCCTCTGCTCCAGCTCTCCCTACTCTGACTCTTTCCCTTGCCACGTCATGCATAGAAACACGCTTCCCCTTCTCATCTCTCGTAAGCTCTCCCAAGGACTTGAACTTGATCGCACCGCCACCACTGCTGTCGCCGCTTATCCCACAAACCGCCTCTGCACCCCGAGGTGCATCAGATGCATCTGCATCACTACGTCCTACTCTATCAGGTGCTAATTCGTCTGCTCCTATAGCATTTGCTGTTACTGCATCACTGGGTGGTTCTGTGTATCTAGGACCACCCGAATGGTTACATGTGCCTGCACTGCTAATCTTGGTCCTGTTGCTCAGAACACCAGTGCCTCGGCTTGCAACCCCACCGCTGCTACCAGGTGGTAACCCCGCTAGCCCTACAGCAGCAGGTGCTGCTAACTGTTCTGCTCCGAATCCAGTCCTAAGACCCTCCTGCTTTCCACCATCATTATGACCAGCCCCGGTCGTTTCATCCTCTTCCTCCTCATCCACACCCTCATAACTATCTGGTACCATCTCCACATCCTCTCCCCATCCCTCAGCATGGACTTTTTCCCTCTCCCCACTTTCCTGTTCTATCCCCTGCTGCTGCTGCTGGTTCTGGTCAAGCTGCTGTACTTCCTGCGATTCCTTTGCCCTACCAAATCCACTCAGACTAGCAACCTCATCCCTCACACCGCTGCGATCACATTCTACCCTACAATGCTCACCCCTCCCAAACCCCTCCACCTCACCACCACCACCACCAGCCCCTCCTTGAACCCTGACTTTCCCACCCTCCCCACACACCTCCCCACGCACCTCCCCACCCTCGCCTTCCCTTCCTCCCCTTCCATAACTGGTATCACCCACGCCATTCCCTCTCTCTCCCCCCACTACCCTCTCCTCTCTCTCCACTCCATTGATCGCGCCCGTGCCTGCCTCCTTCCCATCCAATCCCACCCTGCTCGCCAGTTGAGGCTTCTCAAAAGGCACCACCACATCCGCGCAACCTGCCCTCTTCCTCTTGCTGTAACCCCCGGACTTGAAATCTCATTCACACGTCCCGCAGGCACATGCGCAGGCGCCGCAAGCAGTGCTCCTCCGCTGCCTCTGCTGCCGCCTTCTCTGCCTCCGTTTGCGTGCGCTGCAGCGGAGGGGCGAGCGGCAGGGACGGCAGCACCCGGCGTTTCTTTGCCGGCCTGCCATCCCCACCGCTGCTGCTGCTGCACTGGCTAATCCCCCATGCCTCGGCTGCTGCCTCTGCTGCTGCTGCTTCTGCAGCTGCTGCTGCCGCTGCTGCTGCTGCTGCTGTTGATGCGTGTGACGCCATGGGCGTTGCTGCGGGATTTGTCTGAAAGTTGTGGGCGCCTTCATGTGGAGTTGAGTCTGCAGGGTCCAGGCCTGTTTCAGCAGCAGCAGCGGCAGCGGCAGCGGCATCACCAGAAGCTACAGCAGAGACAGCAACGGTGGCTGCAGCTGCAGCAGCGGCGGCAGTGGCTGCAGCTGACTCGATAAGTGGGCGAAAGAACGACACGCGCTCGGAGCGATTGGGGCACTCGATGGTGTGGCTGCATGAGAGAGAAGGGAGTGACGCGAGGTGGAGTGGGAGGTAATTTGTCTATTGAGTTTACTCAAAAATCAAATTCCAATGAAGGCACTCAATGGCGTGGCTGCGTGGGAGGTGGTGCGAGGTGGTGTGGCAGGTAGATTTGCTTATAAGGTAGAATATAGGGTGGACTAAAGCCCATTTGTCAGACAACGGTATGGGGAGTGAAGAGGGCGGGAGAGAGAACAAAGGGATGGGAGTTAGGGATGGTGGCATGAGCAAGGGTCAAGCGACACTACTCAAAGGCCACCGGCCGAAACGCGCGTACGCTCAGGTTTCATGCGTACGCGCGTATGCTTCATGAGCAAGGGTCAAGCGACACTACACTACTCAAACGCGCACATAGCACGCGCCTGCACTCTGCACTCCGGCATGCATTACCACGCACAAACGAGCGCAGAGGCCAGAAAGGGAGGGAAGGAGGGAGGTAGGAAGCGAGAGAGAGAGCGAGGGAGCGAGCCTCACATGTGGAGGGAAAAGAGACGGCGCAGGGTGGAGGGTAGTTGGTGCAGGGAGCAGTTGGCGAAGGCGAGCAGCAGCACAGGCAGAGAGGGAGGAAGGTCAGAGAGAAGCATGCGCAGCACTGCCCGCTGCACCGGCTGTGCCTGCACGCATGGACGCACCAGAGGAGCGATGGGGTGGGACGGCATGGGGTTGCAGTGGGGGGTTCAGGTGAAGGGAGGTAGAGGGAACGGGAGAAGACATATGGCACGAGTGAGGGCGAGTGGTTTGCGGCAAGAAATGGGTATGAGAGGACAGAACAGAATGGGGGCAGAGACCTGAGCGAGCAGCAGCAGCCGGAGCTGCAGCAGCAGCAGCAGCAGCAAGAAGCAGAAAGTAGAGAGAGAAACACAAATGATAGAGCAGTGCGGGCAGCAGGGGTGGTATCGTGTGCCACCACCAGAGGTCGGCGTGTGGCAGGAAGAGGATGCAGCAGGGGAAGGTGAGGTGCGGGGGAGTACAGAGAGACAGAGTGGGAACGAAAGAAACAAGAACCCAGCAGAGCAGGGGCGGTACCGTGCGCCACCAGAGGTCGGCGTGCGGCAGGAAGAGGTAGGGAGTAGAGAGAGACAGCCGGGAAACGGAATAGAGAAAGAGACAGAGAGCAGGGGCGGTACCGTGCGCCACCAGAGGTCGGCGTGTGGCAGGAAGAGGATGCAGCGGGGGCCGCGCCTGGCCTCTGCCACGACTCGCACAAGGGCCTCCTCGGGCGAGTGAGAGGAGGGGTCGGTGAGGAGCGATGGTAGTGACATGGAGTGCACAGGCAGGTGCTCCAGACGGTGCAGCAGCGCCTGCACCAGGTACACCTGTGGCACAGAGAGAGGAGAGGAGGGGAAGAGGAGTTGTGTGAGGAGGAGGAGGAGGAGGAGGAGGAGGAGGAGGAGGAGGAGGAGGAGGAGGAGGAGGAGGAGGAGGAGGAGGAGGAGGAGGAGGAGGAGGAAACTGGAAGTGGGACTGGGGAGAGAGAGAAGAGGGAATGCGGAGGAGCAAGCAGTGCAAGCAAGGGGCTAAACAGCGCACCTGGCCTGAGCCTGGAGGGCCACAGAGCATGAGAGAGGCCTGCCGGGGAGCCAGCTGCAGGGATTGCACCAAGCGGTTGCGCACTAAACGACCGTTCTGCCCACCACCATGCCCCCCCTCCTTCTTCCCTTGCCCCTTCTCTCGCCCTCGCCCTTGCCCTCGCCCTCGCCCTCGCCCTCGCCCTCGCCCTCGCCCTCGCCCTCGCCTCGCCCTCGCCCTCGCCCTCGCCCTCGCCCTCGCCCTCGCCCTCGCCCTCGCCCTCGCCCTCGCCCTCGCCCTCGCCCTCGCCCTCGCCCTCGCCCTCGCCCTCGCCCTCGCCCTCGCCCTCGCCCTCGCCCTCGCCCTCGCCCTCGCCCTCGCCCTCGCCCTCGCCCTCGCCCTCGCCCTCGCCCTCGCCCTCGCCCTCGCCCTCGCCCTCGCCCTCGCCCTCGCCCTCGCCCTCGCCCTCGCCCTCGCCCTCGCCCTCGCCCTCGCCCTCGCCCTCGCCCTCGCCCTCGCCCTCGCCCTCGCCCTCGCCCTCGCCCTCGCCCTCGCCCTCGCCCTCGCCCTCGCCCTCGCCCTCGCCCTCGCCCTCGCCCTCGCCCTCGCCCTCGCCCTCGCCCTCGCCCTCGCCCTCGCCCTCGCCCTCGCCCTCGCCCTCGCCCTCGCCCTCGCCCTCGCCCTCGCCCTCGCCCTCGCCCTCGCCCTCGCCCTCGCCCTCGCCCTCGCCCTCGCCTCGCCCTCGCCCTCGCCCTCGCCCTCGCCCTCGCCCTCGCCCTCGCCCTCGCCCTCGCCCTCGCCCTCGCCCTCGCCCTCGCCCTCGCCCTCGCCCTCGCCCTCGCCTCGCCCTCGCCCTCGCCTCGCCCTCGCCCTCGCCCTCGCCCTCGCCCTCGCCCTCGCCCTCGCCCTCGCCCTCGCCCTCGCCCTCGCCCTCGCCCTCGCCCTCGCCCTCGCCCTCGCCCTCGCCTCGCCCTCGCCCTCGCCCTCGCCCTCGCCCTCGCCCTCGCCCTCCCTCGCCCTCGCCCTCGCCCTCGCCCTCGCCCTCGCCCTCGCCCTCGCCCTCGCCCTCGCCTCGCCCTCGCCCTCGCCCTCGCCTCGCCCTCGCCCTCGCCCTCGCCCTCGCCCTCGCCCTCGCCCTCGCCCTCGCCCTCGCCCTCGCCCTCGCCCTCGCCCTCGCCCTCGCCCTCGCCCTCGCCCTCGCCCTCGCCCTCGCCCTCGCCCTCGCCCTCGCCCTCGCCCTCGCCCTCGCCCTCGCCCTCGCCCTCGCCCTCGCCCTCGCCCTCGCCCTCGCCCTCGCCCTCGCCCTCGCCCTCGCCCTCGCCCTCGCCCTCGCCCTCGCCCTCGCCCTCGCCCTCGCCCTCGCCCTCGCCCTCGCCCTCGCCCTCGCCCTCGCCCCTCGCCCTCGCCCTCGCCCTCGCCCTCGCCCTCGCCCTCCCTCGCCCCTCGCCCTCGCCCTCGCCTCGCCCTCGCCTGCCTCGCCCTCGCCCTCGCCCCTCGCCCTCGCCCTCGCCCTCGCCCTCGCCCTCGCCCTCGCCCTCGCCCTCGCCCTCGCCCTCGCCCTCGCCCTCGCCCTCGCCCTCGCCCTCGCCCTCGCCCTCGCCCTCGCCCCTCGCCCTCGCCCTCGCCCTCGCCCTCGCCCTCGCCCTCGCCCTCGCCCTCGCCTCGCCCTCGCCCCGCCCTCGCCCTCGCCCTCGCCCTCGCCCTCGCCCTCGCCCTCGCCCTCGCCCTCGCCCTCGCCCTCGCCCTCGCCCTCGCCCTCGCCCTCGCCCTCGCCCTCGCCCTCGCCCTCGCCCTCGCCCTCGCCCTCGCCCTCGCCCTCGCCCTCGCCCTCGCCCTCGCCCTCGCCCTCGCCCTCGCCCTCGCCCTCGCCCTCGCCCCTCGCCCTCGCCCTCGCCCTCGCCCTCGCCCTCGCCCTCGCCCTCGCCCTCGCCCTCGCCCTCGCCCTCGCCCTCGCCCTCGCCCTCGCCCTCGCCCTCGCCCTCGCCCTCGCCCCTCGCCCTCGCCCTCGCCCTCGCCCTCGCCCTCGCCCTCTCCCTCGCCCTCGCCCTCGCCCTCGCCCTCGCCCTCGCCCTCGCCCTCGCCCTCGCCCTCGCCCTCGCCCTCGCCCTCGCCCTCGCCTCGCCCTCGCCCCTCGCCCTCGCCCTCGCCCTCCCTCGCCCTCGCCCTCGCCCTCGCCTCGCCCTCGCCCTCGCCCTCGCCCTCGCCCTCGCCCTCGCCCTCGCCCTCGCCCTCGCCCTCGCCCTCGCCCTCGCCCTCGCCCTCGCCCTCGCCCTCGCCCTCGCCCTCGCCCTCGCCCCCTCGCCCTCGCCCTCGCCCTCGCCCTCGCCCTCGCCCTCGCCCTCGCCCTCGCCCTCGCCCTCGCCCTCGCCCTCGCCCTCGCCCTCGCCCTCGCCCTCGCCCTCGCCTCGCCCTCGCCCTCGCCCTCGCCCTCGCCCTCGCCCTCGCCCTCGCCCTCGCCCTCGCCCTCGCCCTCGCCCTCGCCCTCGCCCTCGCCCTCGCCCTCGCCCTCGCCCTCGCCCTCGCCCTCGCCCTCGCCCTCGCCCTCGCCCTCGCCCTCGCCCTCGCCCTCGCCCTCGCCCTCGCCCTCGCCCTCGCCCTCGCCCTCGCCCTCGCCCTCGCCCTCGCCCTCGCCCTCGCCCTCGCCCTCGCCCTCGCCCTCGCCCTCGCCCTCGCCCTCGCCCTCGCCCTCGCCCTCGCCCTCGCCCTCGCCCTCGCCCTCGCCCTCGCCCTCGCCCTCGCCCTCGCCCTCGCCCTCGCCCTCGCCCTCGCCCTCGCCCTCGCCCTCGCCCTCGCCCTCGCCCTCGCCCTCGCCCTCGCCCTCGCCCTCGCCCTCGCCCTCGCCCTCGCCTCGCCCTCGCCCTCGCCCTCGCCCTCGCCCTCGCCCTCGCCCTCGCCCTCGCCTCGCCCTCGCCCTCGCCCTCGCCCTCGCCCTCGCCCTCGCCCTCGCCCTCGCCCTCGCCTCCCTCGCCCTCGCCCTCGGCCCTCGCCCTCGCCCCTCGCCCTCGCCCTCGCCTCGCCCTCGCCCTCCGCCCTCGCCCTCGCCCTCGCCCTCGCCCTCGCCCTCGCCCTCGCCCTCGCCCTCGCCCTCGCCCCGCCCTCGCCCTCGCCCCGCCCTCGCGCCCTCGCCCCTCGCCCTCGCCCCGCCCTCGCCCTGGCCCTCGCCCTCGCCCTCGCCCTCGCCCTCGCCCTCGCCCTCGCCCTCGCCTCCCCTCGGCCCTCGCCCTCGCCCTCGCCTGCCCTCGCCCTCGGCCCTTGCCCTTGCCCTTGCCCTTGCCCTTGCCTTGCCCTTGCCCTTGCCCTTGCCCTTGCCCTTGCTTGCCCTTGCCCTGCCCTTGCCCTTGCCCTTGCCCTTGAGCCCCTTTGCCCTTGCCCTTGCCCTTGCCCTTGGCCCTTGCCCTTGCCCTTGCCCTTAGCCCTTGCCCTTGCCCTTGCCCTTGCCCTTGCCCTTGCCCTTGCCCTTGCCCTTGCCCTTGCCTTGCCCTTGCCCTTGCCCTTGCCCTTGCCCTTGCCCTTGCCCTTGCCCTTGCCCTTGCCCTTGCCCTTGCCCTTGCCCTTGCCCTTGCCCTTGCCCTTGCCCTTGCCCTTGCCCTTGCCCTTGCCCTTGCCCTTGCCCTTGCCCTTGCCCTTGCCTTGCCCTTGCCCTTGCCCTTGCCCTTGCCCTTGCCCTTGCCCTTGCCCTTGCCCTTGCCCTTGCCCTTGCCCTTGCCCTTGCCCTTGCCCTTGCCCTTGCCCTTGCCCTTGCCCTTGCCCTTGCCCTTGCCCTTGCCCTTGCCCTTGCCCTTGCCCTTGCCCTTGCCCTTGCCCTTGCCCTTGCCCTTGCCCTTGCCCTTGCCCTTGCCCTTGCCTGCCCTTGCCCTTGCCCTTGCCCTTGCCCTTGCCCTTGCCCTTGCCCTTGCCCTTGCCCTTGATCCCTTGCCCTTGCCCTTGCCCTTGCCCTTGCCCTTGCCCTTGCCCTTGCCCTGTGCCCTTGCCCTTGCCCTTGCCCTTGCCCTTGCCCTTGCCCTTGCCCTTGCCCTTGCCCTTGCCCTTGCCCTTGCCCTTGCCCTTGCCCTTGCCCTTGCCCTTGCCCTTGCCCTTGCCCTTGCCCTTGCCCTTGCCCTTGCCCTTGCCCTTGCCCTTGCCCTTGCCCTTGCCCTTGCCCTTGCCCTTGCCCTTGCCCTTGCCCTTGCCCTTGCCCTTGCCCTTGCCCTTGCCCTTGCCCTTGCCCTTGCCCTTGCCCTTGCCCTTGCCCTTGCCCTTGCCCTTGCCCTTGCCTTGCCCTTGCCCTTGCCCTTGCCCTTGCCCTTGCCCTTGCCCTTGCCCTTGCCCTTGCCCTTGCCCTTGCCCTTGCCCTTGCCCTTGCCCTTGCCCTTGCCCTTGCCCTTGCCCTTGCCCTTGCCCTTGCCCTTGCCCTTGCCTTGCCCTTGCCCTTGCCCTTGCCCTTGCCCTTGCCCTTGCCCTTGCCCTTGCCCTTGCCCTTGCCCATTGCCCTTGCCCTTGCCCTTGCCCTTGCCCTTGCCCTTGCCCTTGCCTTGCCCTTGCCCCTTGCCCTTGCCCTTGCCTTGCCCTTGCCCTTGCCCTTGCCCTTGCCCTTGCCCTTGCCCTGCCCTTGCCCTTGCCCTTGCCCTTGCCCTTGCCTTGCCCTTGCCCTTGCCCTTGCCCTTGCCCTTGCCCTTGCCCTTGCCCTTGCCTTGCCCTTGCCCTTGCCCTTGCCTTGCCCTTGCCTTGCCCTTGCCCTTGCCCTTGCCCTTGCCCTTGCCCTTGCCCTTGCCCTTGCCCTTGCCCTTGCCCTTGCCCTTGCCCTTGCCCTTGCCCTTGCCCCTTGCCCTTGCCCTTGCCTGCCCTTGCCCTTGCCCTTGCCCTTGCCCTTGCCCTTGCCCTTGCCCTTGCCCTTGCCCTTGCCCTTGGCCCTTGCCCTTGCCCTTGCCCTTGCCCTTGCCCTTGCCCTTGCCCTTGCCCTTGCCCTTGCCCTTGCCCTTGCCCTTGCCCTTGCCCTTGCCCTTGCCCTTGCCCTTGCCCTTGCCCTTGCCCTTGCCCTTGCCCTTGCCCTTGCCCTTGCCCTTGCCCTTGCCCTTGCCCTTGCCCTTGCCCTTGCCCTTGCCCTTGCCCTTGCCCTTGCCCTTGCCCTTGCCCTTGCCCTTGCCCTTGCCCTTGCCCTTGCCCTTGCCCTTGCCCTTGCCCTTGCCCTTGCCCTTGCCCTTGCCCTTGCCCTTGCCCTTGCCCTTGCCCTTGCCCTTGCCCTTGCCCTTGCCCTTGCCCTTGCCCTTGCCCTTGCCCTTGCCCTTGCCCTTGCCCTTGCCCTTGCCCTTGCCCTTGCCCTTGCCCTTGCCTGCCTTGCCCTTGCCCTTGCCCTTGCCCTTGCCCTTGCCCTTGCCCTTGCCCTTGCCCTTGCCCTTGCCCTTGCCCTTGCCCTGCCTTGCCCTTGCCTTGCCCTTGCCCTTGCCCTTGCCCTTGCCCTTGCCCTTGCCCTTGCCCTTGCCCTTGCCCTTGCCCTTGCCCTTGCCCTTGCCCTTGCCCTTGCCCTTGCCCTTGCCCTTGCCCTTGCCCTTGCCCTTGCCCTTGCCCTTGCCCTTGTCCTCGCCCCAGTTCTCGCCCCCGCTCTGGGCCCCCCTTGCTGCCCGCGCCTCCACTTCTCTCCTGCTTCTCCTTCTCCTTCTCCTTCTCCCTCTCCTTCTGCTGCTGTTGCGGTTCCGCTTCACGGCCTTCAGCCTGTGTCCTCGCACCAGCGCCCCTAGCTTGGCCAACCCCTTCCTCCGCCTCTGCTGCATCTTCATCTGCAGCAGCAGCAACAGGAGACCCAGTGGCTGCTGGCGTGGAATCCACTCCTACTGCTCCTGCAGCTGCTCCTCCCAGCCCCCGAGTGTTTTCCACTGCGACTGCTGCCTCTGCTGCTGCTCTTCCTGCTGCAGCTGCCCGGACTGCTGCTGCCGCTGCCCGCACACTTGCTGCATGGGCAGAAGCTAGAGTGGCGCCGGTGGTGGTGGGTTCACGTTGCAGCGGCACGTGGTCATCCAGTGGGGACAACGGAACAGCAGCAGGATGGTGATTCATAGATGGAGAAACTCCTTTCCCTGCTGCTGCTGAGGCAACTGACGCTGCTACTGCTTCTGCTACTGGTGTTGCTGCAGTTGCTGCTGTTGCTGCTGTTGCTCCTGC